CTGCATCCATTCTGCAGTGCTGTAGGTGGTGTGAGCGGCGCGTACTTGTCTCACACAGGCCGGCTTCACACATCATGTAGTGACATCTACCGATGCCACTACACGTGGTACAAACACATTGTGACGTAGTACAAACACATTGTCACGTAGTAAAAACACATTATCACGTGGTACAAACATTATACAGAAAGCATCATGGATGCACCATCATCACGAGGACCTCAGCAGTTTGAAGAGAAGACCCAGCACCACCGCATCAGGGCAACTCGGGATGGGAAATAATTTCTGGTTTACCAGTGACGCTCACATCCCATAGAATAAAAGAGACATAAAAGGTCATGCAGATGAGCTTGCAGTATGACGAGGCGTTCAGCACAGGGTAGTATAATCCTGTGCAATGTTAGTACAGTCGACCCTTCTGCATCGCGACTTTCCCCATCGCGGTTTTGATATATCGCGGGGTCGGCATAAGAAATTAAATGGGAATTTTTTGGGAGTTTTGCAAAAACCACAGACGACACGTGAAGGCCAGCAGACGACACACAAAAAGTTTAGTAACTCAAATGCATAAAATATATGTACAGGACTGTATAATATTCATGTATTTAATACCATAAATATACACAATTTTTTTTAAGTAAAATTTTATAAAAAGTTAAAGTTTGTGAAAAGAACGCGAAAGCCAGCAGACGACACGCAAAGGCTCACAGCGCCCCCCCCAAACCCCCCGGCTGGAGGTGCTCGCTTCGCTCGCCAAGGGGACCAAGGGGACCAAAACATTTTACGCGTTTTTTCCAGATCACAGGGGGCCTGCGCCACTAATCCCCGTGATGTGGAAGGGTCGACTGTATATCGAAATGTAGATATTTGCGAGAGGAGTGGATACTTCTCAGTCTGCTACTCAGACATTGTCAGGCATGTGCAGAATCTAGATCTCCTCCTGGACTCAGAGTGATCTATCTCTCAAAATATGCTACTAGATTTGCTTTCCTTCACCTGTGCAAGATGCGACTGAAACCACAATGTATACCTCATCTCGACTACTTCACTCTTCTTGTCTTGATTTGTGAGTCACAGCAAAGATCAAATACAAGGCTGTTGCTTCGCGCATTCTCTTTTGCAGCTCCTGCGTGGAGAGCACACGCGTTGCGCAATTGTAAGATCAGCTCCCTTTGAATCTTCAGACCACACTTTAAATCGTCTTTGTTTACTGCTGCCTACAGCTGGTATGTCCTAGGGCATCATGCTCTCAGGGTCCCACTAATTGCAACAACGACCAGGGCTTCTTGCGCCTCAGGGTACAAGGAAAGATTTTGGCAAAAATTATGCTGTATGAAATCAAACTACAGTATTGCTGTTTGTTATTTCTCTGTACTTTCCCTCATGTGAGGGGCTTACGTGTTTACTGTTGTCCCGCCTCATAGATTTTTCAATTATGTTCGGTTTATTTTTCTGTGGTTTCATACTACTTTTGATCTTCATTTGGTTTGCAATTTTCAGCGTATTGGAATGCAGTTTTCATGGATGGGGTTAAATAAAATTGAATTATTACAATCTAGGTACCAGCCACGATATAGGGATAAGAGTACCAGTAACATTTCCAATGCCACCTAACAAGGTCTATGCAGTGCACTCAGGGACTATAGAAGCTGTAAAATGTCGGCTGGCAGAACTTGTTCCATTAAAATAATGTTGTATATATAGGCCTTTTTCCAAAATTGATATTAATAATGATTTTGCCGATTTTTTAATCAATCGTGGTGTCACTTGGGGAAAAGGGGGGTGATACAGCCCCCCTCCCCTCACACACAACAGGCCACCGGAGATAGCAATAAAAAGTAATAAACCCAAAACAAAGAGAAGGGGGGGGGAATTCCTAATGAGAGACAAAAAAATCCCGACGGCTTCAAAGCCTCGCCAGCTTCCAAGGCGGCGAAAACCAGACAGACAAGTTTTTGGTTAATTTAATTAACAGAAAATCTAAGAAAAACTCAGCAACAAGAATAAGCTGACATAGGAATCTACACCCTCACTACGATTTAAAAAAAAATACAGACTACAATCTACATAGCGGGTTATTACTTATCATACATAATATTAATACTAACGTTATTCACCTTAAATTATATTACATCTTGCCGTTTACGTGACTTTACATAAACCAAATAAATGAATTTCAGCAGTCAAGAAACTTAATCGAAACTTAGTTATACCTCTAAAACTCAGGCCATAAAAAAATTACTCTAGTATAACAGCACGGATCCCCGGATACAGACGGGAGGACGAAATTAATAAACCATAAGAAATACGTGGTGATGATAATGTTAAATCACAAATCTTGGGAAACATAGCCCAATAATTATGCAGTATTAAACCGAGGGTTATCCAGAAGAGATGAGGCGAAATAGGTCAAACTTACACAACCAAGAGAAACTGTATCCCATAGGAAAAGAGCCTCCCAACCGTCTTTGTCTTCCCGCAGCACGGGATAGCAAAGAATATAACGTCCAAAGTGAGGGAAATTACTCTTTTATTGCAGGGGGGCATCTGTGTTCCACGGATGAAAAGATGGCTTGGGGAGAGACACAGAAGGCTTAATAAATGACACACACGGACACACGTACAACCCCCCCCCCACAACACAGAGCGAGATCAAAGGAAGTTCCAGTCCTTTGTGAGAAGGCGAGCAGAGAAAGACATTTTGGCATAAAAAGAGAGACACAAGCCAGCATGGATTACAGCTACCAGCGGCAGAAGACGGCGACCATCAGCTACCGAAGATGACCAGCTACCAAAGATAACAGCCAGCCACCGACGCAGGAGATCACCACCGACGCAGAAGAAGACTCCGCAACTCATCCAGGATGGTGAGGCTCACTGAGTAGCGACATGCTACGCCGTGCGAATTCAGTGCCATCAGAAGAAGTATCGCTCGAAAATCATTCCACTCTGGGCATCGACTCACAAGAGCCACTGCAGTTCGAGCTAAGCTGATGAGAATTCCAGCATCATCCGCGAGAGAGGGCGGAAAGCGCCAAACGTCGACCAAGCCTGCCATCAACGAACGAAAGCATCATTCATCGCCAGAGAGCCGGAGCAGGAGAGAGCACGTCGCAGCGCCACCAGCGCCACCAAGCAAGGGTGTCAGCTGCCAGTGGACGAGCTGCGGGTGCTACCTGACGACGGGATCATCGCGCACGACGGTGAGCGTCGTGCCAACTCTTCCAACCAGCTGTGGAACGAACTCCGGCCGCCCGTGTGAAAGAAGGAGAACCCAGCTATCCGTATGATATGCACACCACCACACATTACAACACATCACCTGGCGTCTGCTTCACGGAAATAATTGATCAAGAACACATTCCCACTCAAACCATACCATCCCCACTCAACACATACACGAATCATTAATAAGAAGACTCATGATAAGTGCGTCAAGTATCAACTGATAACGAAGAACACGGTTGCCATTGGGTTACGGGGAAACGGTCGTTTAGAAGTATTTTAGTAGTTATGTTTCTTTTTGATTTGCATAAATATTATCAACGAATTTATCGATGAAAACTAAACGTTTAAAAACTTAAGTTACGAATCCACACACTCACAGGGAGAATATTGTGTTAAAATCTTTCTTTTGATCACAGAATCTGCCCGTGAATTTATTGAAACCTCAGCCAATTAATGAGTATTTGCTGAAGCAGGCATACTGCTGCACACCATGGTTTAAACATTTCGTAAAAATTACGTAATCTTGCCCATGGATTCATTGCCATATACATTTTGCCTTCGGGACATGTTTCTTTATTGCCTTCGTATGAATGTCGTTGCATGCATTTTTAAGGACTTTTATTCCTATTTGCCGTATATGCTCGTGTTACTCTGACGAAGTAATTGTTTGTTCTGTTACCCAATTAACAAACGTGATCACTGAGGGTTAAATGTATGAATCCATGAAGCCTTAGCCAATTGATGAGTATTTACTGAAACAGGCGTACTGCCGCACACCCTTATTCCAAGACATTTAGTTAATTATATAATCTTGCCAATGAATCTATTGACGTATACTTTTGCCTTTGGGGTATAATAATTTATTTTATTGCCTTTCGTATGAATATCGTTGCATGAATTTTTAAGGGCTTTTTCCTCTCGCCGTGTATGCTCGCATACTCTGAGCAAGTAATAAATTGTTATGTTACCCAGTTAACAAACGTGATCATTGAGGGTTAAATGTATGGGTCAATGAGGGGAACATCTCCTGGAGTACTGTGTTGACAATTTCAAGCATAATAATTCGCATATTAGAGTGTTAAGGTTTTGTTTAGAAATTAAAATTGCTTAACACAGAAGTGTTTGAGTGTTTCTTTCCTAAGTTAATGCGTAATAATCTTAATTATAAGAACTGTATCCTGCGGTGAGATTTGAATTTGGAGACCTGACATAAACACACTAATACATAATCAATAAATGTTAAAACGAGAATAATTGTATTATACCGATTGATAATATGACCCTGGGCAACGAAGCTAAGACTAATTATCATAACTGCCCACATTAGCATAATCACATACATTCGCATAAATTAATACGATCATCTCTCTAGTTGGCATAATTTATGCACATAATTATAGAAATTAGCATAATTACGGACAATTACGCATTTTTCCAAATTTCATTTAATTTTTATTATTTTCATTAAATTTTCATATATAACAGCAAGCTGTAAAATGTCGGCTGGCAGAACTTGTTCCATTAAAATACAGATTTTAACAAAGAAAATGTGCCACAGTTTTGGGAAATAGCATGTGGAACGATTGCAGGCTGCCATCAATAAAACATGACGTGAATATATTATGCAAGTGAGAAACTCTGCATGTATAGAAAAGTTTGAAGTTGTATTATGCATTTATGTAATGATAAATGGCCATGGTTTTGAATGTGTATTCTACTAAAAAGGTGAAATACTCTTCTGAATAACGTCGTTTTTAAAAATTACAGATTCGCTGAAGACATACCTCATACACGTTTATACTGGAAATAAAACTAAAGCTGGAACTAATGAAGCCGTTTCTATTACAATCCATGGAAGTGCAGCGAATCCTGCAATGGATCTAACTTCCTCCAAGACACACAACAATCCTTTTGAACATAATCAGGTATGCAGTATTACTAATTCACAGTCACAGAATGGTGGAAACTCGAGAATGTTCTTTATTTATTGTTCCTCTAGTACTGCTCATCTCATTTGTTTACACAGTAGAGCCTCACTACCTCGTGTCAAAGGCTTTTTAAAATAATACATACAAGGGAATAACTATCATAGGTTCACGCAGGCAGATTCAACTAATGGATAATGGAGAAGGTGTTCCGGCTAGCTGAAAGAAAGTACCAGGCCCACTCCTGCCATCTACAAGATGTCACATTCGAGAATGAGGAGACTTACCATAGCAGACGCTCGGACTTTCAGAGAGCCGTGTTGCGTTGCAGGGATGAGTGGTGGTCACTGGTTTCTGAGGAGATCGAAACTGCATCGCGATGACAAGTCACTCTTTAATAGCAACTTAATAAGTAACATAAAAAAAAATTAAACACGCTTTTATCAAATCTACCGTACGAGTAATGGAAGAACTTTACGACTCCAGGAAGTGGCCCCAAAGCTTGCCATAACGTAAGGGGCCGAGGTGATTTACAGCCAACATCAGTCAGTTTACCGTGAACAATTAGACCCAAGCCGAAACATAACATATAGAAAAAAATGTTTAAAAATATGTTTTTATAGAATATAGTATTATCATTATGACATAAGTATACCAAGTTTGCAGTCGATACCACATTGGGAAGTGGGTTAAAATTGAGTTACAAGATTTGAGGATACAACAACAGAGTGAGTTAATAGAAAGCGTGTAAAAAAATTGTTTAAAAATATATTTTTTATTTTTAATAAAATATAGTATTGTCATCAGTATGACATAAGTATACCAAGTTTGCTGTCGATTCCACGTTGGGAAGTAGGTTAAAATTGAGTTACAACATTTGAGGATACAACAACAGAGTGAGTTAATAGAAAGCGTGTAAATAATAAAAAGTAACTTGCAGTGCCACACCCATTACCATCCAAAAGGGAAAACGTGGTAATACGATCTGTGGCCCCCAGGAACAGGTTTGCAGAGCATTTCTGAGGTCTATGTGGAGGGGAAACCACCTAGCTCAGATAAGAGCAATCCAGAGCCTGACACCAGTTAAAGCACCGGGCAGAGATGACCTCGCAAGCGAACTATTTAGGGTGACAATCATGTGTAGTGGTTGGCCTAATCATGACATCATTACAACTGCTTGGATCATGGTACTTGTTATGAGATTGGAAGAATGCCCAGGATAAGGTCTATGATATCAATAAGCCAGGGGTTTTGGGCTACCCTTCATGTTCTCAGGGTCCCACTGAGTTCAACAACTACCAGGGCTTCTCGCGCTTCAGTGTGTCAGGAAAGATCTTGGCAAAGATTAATTATTCGACATGCCTTGCCAGGCACACTAAAGAGAGGCTTGCAGAGAGCCTCAATATGGTCTCAAAGTGGGGTGGTCCTGCACACATGCCATATTATGTCTGTATGCTACAGCAGAGGTGTAGGGAGATTAAACAGGATTTACATATCTGCTTTATTGACTTTGTTCAAGGTCTATGATATCACCAAAAGGCCAGGGCCTTTGAAGGCAGTTTCCCTCTAACAACAACAGAGGGTGGAGGAGCGATGCTCACAACGAGTAGAGCGCTATGCAACTGTAGTGTTCTAAAGACGAGTAAACTTCTTAGGAGGCACACTCTGTTTATTGTTATTCTTTTCTCATACAATCCTTAACACACACAGAGGGGTATATGGTCCCCTCACCCGATACCCTCGAGAGGTACAGCCTCCTAGCTTGGCGGGACTTGCACGTCTACCGCTAATCTCCTAGCTTGGCGGGACTTGCATGTCTACCACTAGTCTCCTAGCTTGGCGGGACTTGCACGTCTACCGCTAACCTCCTTGATACCTAAGGAGGTACAGCCTCCTAGTTTGGCGGGACTCGCACGTCTACCGCTACCCTATCCCAGAGTCCTCCGGCTGGGACCTAGGGGAGGCTATCTGACCCACCGCTGGCCCGGTGGGTCCTGACCACTGGGTATGCCGAGCCTTAGCCCTCAGAAGGGCTGGAAGGCTGGTCCAGGGTCCTAGCTAGTCTTCAGCCCGGGCTTCGGTCTTCGTGTAGGGAGAGAACTCCCCGAGCTCTGTTGGGTCACCCTTCTTATACTCGTTCTTGGCCAGGTATAACCAATCACACATTCCCACGTGGAACTGGCTGATTGGTTCTTACCAAACCCTGGGTTACGATCCACTTCACCTCGTCTGACCCCAACCGTTATGTACCCAGAGGTAATGCTGCACTGCCCCTTTTATACATGGTGGCAATGCAGGTTATCGAACAGTGCATAGTTAACACCTCTACATCACCCCTTCCTTCGGAAGCTCCAGCCATCCCGGCTGCAACAATGTGAAATTCCGAAATTATCAACGATGGAAGAATTGTGAGTGTGCCTCACGAACAACAAGAAAAATAAAAAACCCCATGTAAATACCCCCTTAACAACATAACGTATATACAAGGCAATAGAGCAGGCAAGAGAACATCATAACAAATGGCGAGATTTCACGCGCATGTGTTTCAATGGTCCATTGAGGCTGAACGTGGCCTGCACGGAGCCGTCACACCCGTGTCATCTGCAGGAGGAATGACACGCCTACGCTGCGGGTTAGGCACCAACGGGGCAACATCTGGCTCGTCGGACGCATCACACACTCGGCCCCCGTGTTGTGTGTGTTGTGGAGGGATGCGCGGCATGACGAAGGGTTTCAACCGAGAGGGGTGAACGAACCAGCGACGCCGTCCCCAGCGAATTTTAATACATTGGAGACGCAGGACCTCCACTACCTCTACCGGACCCCGCCATGGCCTAAGGAGTTTTGGCGATGTGGAAACTGGTACCTGGGGTCAGTGAAGCCATGCCTTGTCTCCCAGTGCCCACCGATGCGTGGACGTTTGAGGGTCACGCAGTCTCAAATTTGCTCGTTGGTGGGAAGCCGAATTTTCAATGGCAGCCTCATGTGCCTCGGCCAACTTACGGAGGTTGAATCGCAAGTGGTCAACGAGCTTGGATTTTTGCGGTGGCTGTTAGATCTCCAGCCGAATGTCGGCGGGAGGAAAGGCATCCCTGCTGTACATTAAAAAGAACGGGAAAATCCCGTCGCCGCGTGAGATGACATGCGGTACGTGGCGAGAACCCCCGGAACCTGCAAGTCCCAATCGAGGTGGGATTCATTGACCTGATGGCATAACATAGCGGTGAGGGTTCTATGCAGGCGCTCCACCATACCGTTGGTTTGGGGATGGTAGGGCGAAGTGTGCACTTTCTTTGTGCCCAACATGTGGCACGCATCATTCAGCAGGACACCTAAAAAATGTATTCCCTGATCGGTCAGCAACCGTTCTGGTGCACCCTTGTCCAGGACGTAGCCCTGAACAAAGGCGTCCACGATGGCCGCTGCTGACTGGATGGGGAGGGCCCAGGCCATAGGCCACCGCGTAAAATACTCCACCCCAACCAGAAGGTACTTATTACCCATGACGTAGTAGTAAAAGGGCCCAGAATATCGAGAGCCACCAACTCGTTTATACGAGACACCGAAATGGGTTGCAGGGGTGGACATGCCGGTTTAGCCGGCGGTTTACGTTGCGCGCAGTGGGTGCACCCCAGCAGAATGTCAGTTACGTCGCGCAGCATGCCTGGCCAGAAAAATTGCAACCGCAACAACCCAATAGTTTTATGGACACCCAGGTGTAATAAACGCTCGTGCGCTGCCCATACGGCTTTACATCGCAAGGTGGAGGGCACGACGATTTTATGTTGACACGAGTCAGCATCCCAATGCATCAGCAAACCGCGTTTCATGACAAATAAATTCAATTTCCCCTGACGCGGACCCGCCTTATTCGCGTGACGACGCAACCGCAACAACGACATGTCGTCGCTCTGGTGCCGACCCCATTCAGCCAAAGTCAGCCCCAGCAAGTCGTTACTGGCCGTTGGATCCGCGTGATCCGACATCGGCGCTGAGGCGACGGGAAGCGCGGCGGACACCGCTTCGAGAGGTGTGACCCGCACTGGCGGTTTACAATGGCCGGAGCCCAAAAAGCACGCACATTTTTGAGCCGGCGGGAGGTGAGACAACGCATCGGCATTCGTGTGTTGCGCACCCTTACGGTAAGTAACATTTAAATCATAGTTCAGAAGGACTTCGAGCCACCGAGAAAGCTGGCCGGACAGTTGGTCAACCTGCAGAGCGTACTGTAATGCCGAATGATCAAATCGCACGGTAAAATGCTGACCATACAGGTACGGCCTGTATTGCTAAATAAAAAAAACAATGGCCAGCTACTCACGTCGGGTAACACAGTATCTTTGTTCAGCAGGAGACAAGACTCTGCTACCATAAGCAACGACCCTTTCAATGCCATCAACTTTTTGGGACAGAACACCCCCAATCCCCATATTGCTAGCGTCGGTGTCCAACACAAATGGTACGGAAAAATCGGGGTATGCAAGGGACGTTGCCATCACGAGTGTGTTCCGCAAGGAGTCGAACGCGGCCTGTTCCTGCATCCCCCCCAATGAAACACCACCCCTTTTGACGTAAGGGCATGGAGCGGCTTGGCGATCGTCGCGAAGCCAACAACAAAACGGCGGTAGTACGACGCAAAACCAATAAAACTGCGAACATCGCCCGCAGATGTAGGGGTCGGCCATTGTTGAACACATGTTTTTTTCAGGGTCGGTAGAGATTCCCAAATGGCTAACTATGTGGCCCAGATAGCGCACAGACTCACGCAGAAGGTGATACTTCTGCGGCTTGAATTTGAAGTTAGTGGCCCGCATTTTCAAGAAGACAGCACACAATCGTTCGATGTGTTCGCCGAACGTGCGGCTAAAGACGATGACGTTGTCAAGATAAATGAGACATGAGTCCCACTGGAGCCCAGCGAGGACCAGCTCCATGATCCTCTGGAACGTCGCTGGGGCCGAGTGGAGACCCATGGGCAATCTATTAAACTCGAAAAGGCCCTGAGGTGTCCGAAAAGCAGTCTTAGGTTTTGACGCTTTCTCGAGGGGGAGTTGCCAAAACCCCGACAGAAGGTCCAAAGTGGAGAAATAGAGCGCCCCTGCAAGGGCATCCAATGACTCATCCATATGAGGGAGAGGGTAGGCGTCAGCTACCGAGATTTTATTTAGGCACCAAAAATCAACGCAAAAATGAAGACTGCCATCGTGCTTTTTGACCAGCACTATTGGAGCACCCCAGGGACTAGTGGAGGGAGAAATGATATCGGCCTCCAGCATGTCATCCACAGCCGATTTAACATGCTATTTCTCCGCCGGGCTAAGCCGAAACGGGTTTTGTCGAATTGCGGCAGCGTCACCAGTATCAATGTGGTGACGCAGTAGCTTGGTGCAGCCAATATAAAATTTAGATTTACTGAATACATCAAAAAATTCTCGCAGAAGAGCGCGCAATTTAATTCGCTCCGAACGAGACAGAACACCTGTGTCTGTGCAGAGCGCGTCCAACCATTCCTCATCCGATTCAGAAGGAGGTGGGTCCTGTGCCGGTCCCCAGCGGCACCGGGGTCACGTGAGCGAGCACAGTTCCTTGCGGAATGACGGTTGTGGACAATCCGACATTCAAAACCTGCATAGAACAGCTCCCTTTCAGCTGCTACGAGGGTCTGTGCAGCCACCAAATCTAACCCCTTAGCTGTGTTTGAAGGTCCCAGAAAAATGCCATGTACCGAGGCATTCGGGGCTAGCGGTTTTTTTAGTCGCAAGGGCACGAGCATTTGTGTCCCTGGCGAAATGCGGACTGTGCTCGCGACGGACGCCTGCACCGAGGCATTTGCCATGCGCGCATGTGAGGGTGTGGGCAAGAATGCCATCCGTTGACCCGACGGGAGTTCGATGCAGCCTTGATCTATAAGGATCTTAATAGGCATTCTCGCGAGAAAATCAGAGACCAAAATAGGCCCTGCCAATTTAATTTCACCAATCGAAATTTGCGCACGAATTTGCCCAATAATGCCCAGCGAACTTCCATTAGCAGCGAAACACGGGATAGAAACCCGTTCCAAGGGGCGGCATCATACGGGCAGTATATTATGAATCAAATCAGAAATGATCATAGCCGACGCACCAGTATCGACCAACATACGAAATTCCACACCCTCGATTGATCCAACAACCACGGATGAACCTGCCGTCGCCGCGACTACCCTATGGGCCAACTCAGACCACTGCCCAGGTCCAAGTGGCTGCGAAGAATCACCAGAACACCCCCCATCACATGCCGAATCGCGAGCCTTTCTTATGGTGCGTTGCGGTGTGTATGGTGTGAATGAGGGCCGAGCGTGAGAGGCGTCGCGACTTGCCTGATTGCGCCGCGATGCCGTGGGCGTCCTGTAGTCCTGGCCCCGGGATGCGGAGGGGCGTCGTCGAGGCGCACGGCAGTCGGAGGAGATGTGGCCTCGTCGGCCACAGTTGAAACAGGTTACGTCGCCGCGTGGAGGAGGCCGTCCCCACTGCTGGTTGTTGCGGCGACCAGCGTGGTCGGACGATCGCCGGCCGGTCGACCTGGTCGCCATGAAGGCCCGGTCGGGGGAGAACTCGGCGTCCCTGCTGGCAGGCTCCGATGTCAAAGCCGAGGCGGCGATGGTCGACTCCGTGTGGAGCAGTAGATGTGCGTGGATGCTCTGAGCGGCTCGTAGCGAGCACATACTGTCGTTGTCCACCGCTTGGATGATGATGTGCAGCTCTCGCGCCAGTTCCAGCATTTTCTGGAGGACGATAGCGTCGATGGCCTCGTCGTCCATGCGGGGGTAACCCACTCTTGCCATCGCGAGTAGGATGGTCCGAAACGCCAACGGAGACTCCTTAGGGTGGCGTCGCCTGTCGTAAAATCGGCTGCAGACATTGGACGGAGGCCCGTAGACGTCGGACATCCGTCGGAGGGCCGATTGCAGAGTCACCCTTTGTCGCCTGGGGATGGTGAGGAGCGAGGAGAGAGCATCGTCGTCCAGAGTGGCCGGTAGCGCTCGGAGCGTCTGTGTGTCCGACCAGCCCACCATTTCTTGGTAGCTCAGAAAGCGACGCTGGAACACCGCCCAGTCGCCCCCTGCAGACGCGAATTCCCGAAAGATGGGCAGGCGCTGTTGGAGGGCGGACGTCGTCTCCTCCTCAGTCTGCACTGTCTCGAGCTGGAGATCGGTGATTGCCTGGCCGATAGCGTCTACTGTATCCTGTCGGTACAGTGACAATGCGGCGTCCACTGAGTAATTTGAGTTTACAGCGTCGCGCGCTGATGACGCTGCGGGTCGTGATTGGCCTCCAGCATTCCCAGGATGCCCCTGGCTTCCGCTTCTGGCGGGATCACATGGTTCCTCGGCGGGAAAGTCAAAATGTCCGCCTTGGCCGATGGCGGGAACATCCGTCGGCGGCTGTCTCGATCCGCCCGTGACCTCCGAGTTGATCTCGTCGAGAATGGAGGCCGCGGCGTGTAGAAGTTGGACGAGACGGTGTGTGCTGTCCGGAGTCCGTCCCCCATGGCAGGAGGAGCGACCGGTTGCTGAACCGGTGGCTGGGCGATTGACGACGTGCCGGCATTTTCCACGGAGTTGGTGGTTCCCGCAGGTGAGTCAGAGTTTCTTTCGTTCTGACTTCGCACATGGGCCGAACTTCTTGTTTCCATTTTAACCACTTCTGACTCCAGTTGTAGTGTTGTAAAGACGAGTAAACTTCTTAGGAAGCACACTATGTTTATTTTATTCTTTCCTCATACAATCCTTAACACACAGAGGGGTATACGGTCCCCTCACCCGATACCCTCGGGAGGTACAGCCTCCTAGCTTGGCAGGACTTGCACGTCTACCGCTAATCTCCTAGCTTGGCGGGACTTGCACATCTACCGCTAACCTCCTTGATACCTAATGAGGTACAGCCTCCTAGCTTGCACGGGACTCGCACGTCTACCGCTACCCTATCCCAGAGTCCTCCGGCTGGGACCTAGGGGAGGCTATCTGACCCACCACTGGCCCGGTGGGTCCTGACCACTGAGTATGCCGAGCCTTAGCCCTCAAAAGGGCTGGAAGGCTGGTCCAGGGTCCTAGCTAGTCTTCAGCCCGGGCTTCGGTCTTCGTATAGGGAGAGAACTCCCCGAGCTCTGTTGGCTCACCCTTCTTATACTCGTTCATGGCCAGGTATAACCAATCACACATTCCCACGTGGAACTGGCTGATTGGTTCTTACCAAACCGTGGCTACGATCCACTTCACCTCGTATGACCCCAACCGTTATGTACCCAGAGGTAACGCTGCACTGCCCCTTTTATACCTGGTGGCAATGCGGGTTATCGAACAGTGCGTAGTTAACACCTCTACACAACTAAGATTCAGCAAGTTGGCACAGTGCGAAAGCACAGGTGGTGCATCTGGATATTAGGATGAAATGAGCACCCACCTATTACTACATGTTTTTTTCATTTTCTGTAATAATTGTAAATACAAAAACATAATCATTTTGCAGATAATGGATTGATACAGCGCTCGGTTGCGCCCTGTGGATTCAGGGGTAACAGCGTCACAGCAACCAGTGGTTTCACTGTATCATAAACAGTGGTTTAGCAGAGTCTCGAATTGTATATACAAACGAGTGTTAGCTAATACTGGAAGGTAGGCTCCCTCTACTACTAGCAATGGACGTTTTGTCGATAGATTTAATTAATTATTAATACATGGGATCTTTATATTGGTACTCGACATTTTGTCAGCAAACATAGGATAATCACCATGTGGTGATTACATTAACCTTGAAATATGAATTTTCACAGAAGGACACTTTCATTCTGAAATCTAGAGACATTGGGAACATAACGAGGGTTACTGTATCGCATGGTGGTGCTTGGTATAAACCCTTGTCGGCCTGGAACCTTGATAAGATTGAGGTCGAAGATGAAGAGTCCCACACCACATTTGTGTTTCTACTCAATGACTGGATTGATGGAGGGTCTCGTGATCTTCATGCTCAGGTGACTCCCACCACTCTCTAATACATGTGCATGTTTTACTTCGTAGTTTCAACACTGTATTAGATGTGTTAATGCTGAAAGACATTATGTACGCTACTTTTAGTTGCTTATGACAAAATCACCCAAAACGCACCAGGTCTTGGAAGCTAAGGAAGTTTTGAGCCTGGACATTGCATGGATGGGTGACCACGCACACGCACAAGCGGGCTGCCACAGGCAGCTTGCGGGGCTAAGGTGGCGGTCTACAGATGGCAGTGCAGCATCGGCTATTGGACTGCAGTATTTTTCTATTCGTTTGTCTTCAACAACCCGCACTGACCAGGGCGTGTGACGTCCGGTCAAATAACCCACACGACCCACAGTGTGAGGATGCCCTTATCCAGCAGTGGATTGACAAACGGGCTCGACGTGCATAAATATTTACGTTTATATACATTGCGCATTAAACATTAAGGTGCGTAATTTGACAACCTACTGCTATTACTTAACAGACCATAGTGTGACTATGACTAATTGGATATGTATCTAGTGAAGTAAATCTATGTCGACATAGTAAAACTGTACAGTACTAACAAGCTACACGTCGATGGTAAGACTCAACTCAATGAAGCTGAAATAGGTCATGGGTTTCCAGTTTAAAACATATCGAGCAATAATCCATATACAGTAAAGTGGTGTAGCGAATAAGTTGTGGACATTAATTGGAAATCATTGCTTCTTACACCCTAATTTGATACACGTTATCATAAATGATTTCAGCCGAGTATTTAGATTCTAATTTGAAAAAATATACACTATTTACTGTAATAAGTAGTATAATTGAACATTTTTTTATTAATTTGTTTAAATAAGGGCCTTTTCAATTGTAGCTTGTCAGTAACATGTAAATGTTGAATGGGGCATGACCCTGGTACTCCTCGTGCACTTTACACATTTTTCTACGAGGCGGCAGATGTTTCACAAGACCAAATATGACAGTCACCTTACCCAATTGCATATTGGGAGAGCACCACACTTTAGTTTTGTCAGAGAATAGAATCATCAATTACCCAGCACCTTACGGGGGAAGGCGGTGCCGAATTTTCAAAAACGCCGGATAATCACATCGTAATTTAAAATAATAAATTTTTGCACATTATGTTCATGGGTGTTGTGTACATGTTTTTTAACGTTTTTTTTAATTTGTTTACTATATGAAATTGGCAACATGAACATACAAATAGACTGAAATAAATATCCTACTGAAAAAAAGTTACTGTATTTACTGTACTGTACTCACCACTCCAACCTCGAAGACTTGGCATGGGGTGATGATCGGGGGTGTAGAATTGGAGGTGGTTATTCAGAATCTGAATCCAACTCCAGCTGTGATGGAGGTTCGCTGGATCGGCCCGGGAATAATGTTGGAAGTTGAATAATCTTGTGCCGGATAATCGATCTTCTACTGTATAGACAAGAGAATGTATTAAAGAATGAAGCTGCAATACGATGACGTGTATGAATTGTGGCACAAATTGGCAATCTTTTGAATGGTTGCATTGAGACAAAACTGCATTTATATAGTATATGGCTGATAATGCACAGAACATGTAAACCCTGTTTGTATGGTGTTCCGTTAACACTGTTCAAAATTACAACTTATCTCCCTAAATGTTTTTTCTTGCAGGAAATCATAGTTAACAATAAATCATTCGTTTATGATTCTCAATTTCAAAACAACACGAAGGAAAAAGAGTGCACTTCCGGTACGTAACAAATAAACCATGGATTTTTTTCAAGTACTGTATATTAAAAAAAATCTGATGTACACTATCCAGATTATAAAGCCATTTAGTAAAACCGCACTGCATTTCTTGTATCATATCAAGAGCCATACTTGGGTGCATGGGGATTGGGCTGAGATGACAATTGCAACAACAAAAAATGAAAGAAATTACTAAGCGTGTTCGTAGGCAATATATGCACGTGTGTTAAGCAGCACAAGTGAAACAATAAATCACACTGCACGAGATGTCATCAAATCTCGCAAAGCTAAACAGTGTTGAGCCTGGCTAAAATGTGTATATTCTTTGGGTCTTTCGGTAAAGTCGCGTAGATAGGTCCAAAGAAAAATAACAAAAAAAACTACGACGTTTCGACTGCTTGTGTTGCGATCGAAACGTCCCAGTTTTTAAAAAAATATATATTTTAACCTATCTATGTGACTTTACCGAAAGATCCAAAGAATAAGAATTTCTGCAGTCGCGAAAGCTTTAAGTCAAGATTTAAAATGTGTATGCTCTCTTCGAATACCAGGCGTTGTTGACATTGGTTATGAGGTGGCCAGAAGATGGCAGTGCAGCAATAGATAATTTGATTTATCTGAGCCTTGAGTGTTACCCCATTGTAATGCATGGGTTCTCCAGGTAGTGTGGTCTTCTAGGTTATGCTATGTTTTGAGCATTTATCCTCAAGCATTCACCAACACACCACTGTAAGAGTTGCGCATGACCAGTGTTTGAGAGAAGAAATACTCAATATACATCCTATCCAAAAAGACCACACTTGGATTCAGAGTGCCTGTGAAAGCCTGCGTATTAAATGTGTATTCTGGCTTCCATCAATTGAGTCTTGAGAACCATGCTTCTTCATTGATTTGCTGACTTAATGGTTGTATTGAGTCAAAACTGTCACAGGGGAGAGAACAAGGGGAGCACCGCTTCCATTCAGATCCCGCCCGCTTTATCTTGTGCCTACGCACAACATCACGGCTATGGGCATGCGCATGCATACAAAGACAAAGATCCCCCGTATTGCCTGACTATTGGGGCAAGTTCTGTTAGCGAGCACCCCTGAAGGGGTAGGTGGTCAGCACCACGCCTGGCCGCCTCTGTCTACACAGTACCGATGTTTACACACATCGCACCAGGTACTCATTTCAGGCTGAGTCAACCGGGGGAAGCGCAGGACCGGTTTAGATAATCGTCACTGGTGTTGGGCGTGAGCGGGAATCGAACTCGGGTTCCTCGGGTTTGTAGCCCAGCGCGCTAACCGCTACACTACCGCTCCCCACATGCATACGGACACACTGGCACGTGCATATGGATGCCCCACATACACATACGCTGCATGTACATTAGTGTTTGTTACAAGCACACTTGGTAATGTTTGCAATAAAAAAGCCAAACATTGTTCAGAATTAAAAACAAACGCCCATAGTGAACCAATGTTAGGTTGATGTTGATGTGGCTGGTCACGCCTTAGACAAGCCAATGATGTTCCACTCACATAAGCGGCGCCTAAACGTTGATAAGCATCGAATATCTTTGAATTATGGGGAGTGTAGCCACGAATCCAAAACCATTGACCACATCGTGAACACTGCCTTCACTCCTTTAAAGGAGGAATGGACAAGATCCACTCTGCTTCTGAACAGACAATTGAGTGGATAACAAATCTAAAATAACATCTTTAATCTGCTGCTATTAATCCATACTAAAGAATAAGAAGGCTCATACATAAATTAGGCCACCTACACGGGTGCAGAAGGAGAAACAAGACAGCGAGTGTTCACAAGGGGATGTGTAGTGATTGAAATGTATCAGCGTGTGATATGTTGGCATGAGACTTTGTCTTATTTTTTTGGGAAACATTTTTTCCCAAGAGTGGTAGTAAATTTTAAGGGGTTAAACTGGTTCACTGATATGGGGAACAACTATCTTGAGCAAGAAATTGCAGGGCTGCACCCTTTACCTTTCACCTCTGAGTAATTTACGTTGCAATATCTTTCTAAATGTAGTTGTAAATGTAAACTATACTGGAATGTATTGTTTTTATATAGCTTTTGTAATTGTTTAAATGTAAAGTTACAGAGGATTGCTTGTAGGTGGTCAACTCGTTTTCAATTAAATAATACATGATCAGGCACGTTGGAGGAGATGTGCCACCAATTCACCGTGACAACCGCAGAGATGGATCCGTCGGCACGCTATAGCAATGCAGAGGTGACAAAGACGCCATGGCTCAACACCACAAGCCCAGCTGTGAATAAAGACAACCAAGATGCGAAATACTATCTCTGGCTGGTCATCACATTGATTCTGGTCATAATTGCTCTAGTGGCTTTTGCTGCATTTCTGGCACATCTTTACCGAAAAAGGCATGCACGCAAGGGTAGGTAAAACTATATAATGGTAACAAGTTGTGTGAATATTATCCTTTAATGATAATTTGTAAAGTGTTGTGATGAATTTGTGAAATTATTGTTTGCTATATATTTTCATCAGCAGCATTATTTCATTTGCAACGTTTACACAAATATTAATGCTATATTAAATGCCTTTCAGATCATCTCCAAGTGCACTGCAACAGGTAAATATTGTTTTTGAATCTCTTCAATAACTAGACAACACAAAACATTTTTACAGGGTGGATATTGTGCTGTATAATAATTACTATTCATGTTAGGGCTGGACACTTTGTGGGATTAATCTACAGTTTTCGTCAAGGCCCCATGGTTTTATTTGGTTCTTTCGGTAAAGTCACTTAAATATAATTTTTTTAAAATTTTAAATAATAAAAGCAAAAAACCCACGACGTTTCGATCGCAACATAAGCGGTCTTCATCAGGCGGAGAGAAAAGAGGGGGCAAGCCTCCAAATGTAGCTGTTTATAAGGATTTCAAAGTGAGTGGGTGGGGGAAAGAGCTGTGCAAGCAACACGAGCTGCGCAAAAGGCACAGTAATGCAGGAGCAAAACAAAGGGGGAGTTGGGTGGAGGATTCATACTCTTTGGTTTTATTCAGTAAAGTCACGTAGATAAAATAAAACAAAATAATTAAATCACGAAGTTTCGGAGGCAACACAAGCTTCAGTCTTCAGGTGGAATAGTCACAGCAGAAGATCTGTGTTGAGTACACAGCTCTGAGACGATCGGGTTTATATATAGGTTAAGGGGGGGGGAGGAGTCAGAAAGGGGCGTGGGTGGGTGAGAGGGCTGAGTGAAAAGTGGAAGGCTGTGGTGAACTGCCAACACATGTGGAGGTTAAGGGGGGGGGAGGAGTCAGAAAGGGGCGTGGGTGGGTGTGAGGGCTGAGTCAAGAGTGGGAGGCTGTGGTGAACTGCCAACACATGTGGAGGTTAAGGGGGGGGGAGGGAGGAGTACCTGATACCATCACAATAATCGAAGATTTGGTCCAACATGGACTTGACCCCGATGTGCCGGCATTGGTTAAGCACTGCCTCACTAACACTTACTTTACTTGGAATGGCACCTGCTACAAACAAAATGAGGGTACCCCCATGGGTTCCCCATTATCACCAGTGATAGCCAATGTTTTCATGGAGAAATTTTAATCAGATGCCATCCAGACATCCACCCTCAGCCCTTCTCTGTGGAAGAGATATGTGGATGACACGTTCGTCATTTGGCCACATGGCCTCCCAGCTTTGAACCTTTTCCTAGACCACATCAATTCCAGACACCCTTCCATCAAAATCACCATGGAAGTTGAGAAAGATGGCAAGCTACCAATCTTGGATGTCTTGTTTGAGAGAAGGCCTGATGGCTCTTTAAGACATTCTGTTTACAGGAAGCCCACCCACACATGCTCCTACTTGAAACCTGATTCCCACCACCACCCGACTCAGAATAATTCTCTCATCAAAACGCTATACCATAGGGCTCATTGCATTTCTGACAAACACCACCTGACCAGTGAATTAAAACATGTACATCTGGCCCTCAAGATGAACGGTTACTCTGACCGTACCATCCGCCAAGCTGTTTCTCCCACCATACAGAAACAACCACTTGACACTCCGATCAAAATCATCACGTTACCATACATAGCAGACGTTACTAAAACGATTTCCAAAATTCTAAACAAACACAAGATCCAGGTCCGGTTCAACACAGTACACAAAATCCGTGATCTGATCCCATCCGTAAAGGATGTTATTCCTGACTTACAGTACCCCGGTGTTTACAAATTGAGTTGTACCTGCGGTGACTGCTATATCGGGGAGACGAAGCGACATATATCTGACCGAATTCGCGAGCACAAATCAGATTTGAAACATGGCAGAACGAATTCTTCTGCTGTGGCTGCTCACTGTTACAATGCTGTGGGTGATCATGATATTGTTTTCTCCGATACCAAGGTACTCTGCAAACCTACCGGTTATTATCAGAGATTTGTCCACGAGGCCATCCAGATATACAAACAGAGACAACTTCAACCGAGAGGATGGTTTCAAATTAAGCAACCATTGGAAAGATTTTGATTTAAAGCTTTCGTGACTGCAGTAATTCATATTCTTAGTTTTTTCGGTAAAGTCACGTTGAAGGGAAACGACCGTTTGAGTTATGGTCGAAACGTCGTGATAATTTTTTATTGTTTTATATTTTATTATTTTGTTGTTTCCCTTCCTACGTGACTTTACCGAAAAAACTAAGAACATTGGAAAGATGTTATAAATCAAGTCAAACGTTAGCTGCCTTTTAATTGTACAGCAATTCTCAGTAGTGCTATACCAAACTTTAGATATTTCCTCCGCATGTGTTGGCAGTCCACTACAGCCTTCCACTCAAACCCCGGGCTGCTTAACAAAAAAGCGACTTGACTCAGCCCTCACACCCACCCACGCCCCCTTTCTGACTCCTCCCTCCCCCCCCTTAACCTCCGCATGTGTTGGCAGTCCACCACAGCCTTCCACTTTTGACTCAGCCCTCCCACCCACCCACGCCCCCTTTCTGACTCCTCCCCCCCCCTTAACCTAGATATAAACCCGATCGTCTCAGAGCTGTGTACTCAACACAGATCTTCTGCTGTGACTATTCCACCTGAAGACGGAAGCTTGTGTTGCCTCCGAAACGTCGTGATTTAATTATTTTATTTTATCTACGTGACTTTACCGAATAAAACCAAAGAGTATGAATACTTGTATCTAAATGAACATACCATGCCTATTATGATTAATTACAGCTAAGCCAAAGGATAATTGGTTTGGTTATACCCAAGTGAGATGCATTTTGTAATCCTATGATGCCATACTACATCTCACTTGTGCAAAAACACTGATCTCATTGCTCCATCTCCACTGTCGTCACCTTCACTTGGCGATGCACAAGCGACCATGCGAGTGCTTGGTGGGAGACCGTGCGTAAATACAACAGCAATGATAATGATGATAATCATTGTCGTCATCATTGTCACCAGCATAAATCCATCATGTTCAAATTAATACTGTTCTGTAAGATATGATGTAAATGATGGGCATCGTATCTCCCTGTAATTGGTGCTTTGGACACACAGCTCATATTATTGCTACCACTTCCAGGTATTTCCTCATAGCCATGCATAAACACATATAATCGGAGGAATCATCCCAGAATTGCTTTTTGTGTTTAGTTTGTCGTCCTCCGCACCTCCAATTAGCATGGTTGGCTATGTACAGTGCAAATGAAGTTCTAACATACATCCAGATATAGGCATTTCATAGGATATGCCAATAGCACCCTCATTAATGGAGTTTCACAATACAGTCGACCCTTCTGCATCGCGATTGATATATCACGGGGTCGGCATAAGAAATTAAATGGGAATTTTTTGGGAGTTTTGCGAAAGCCGCAGACAACATGCGAAGGCCAGCAGACGACACACAAAAAGTTTAGGAATTCATGAATGCATAAAGTATGTGTAGTGGTTGATTTCACTCAGACAACTTTTGTCTTTCTTCCAACACCACTTTATTTACAGTTCTCCACATGTCCTCAATGCTCCACAGTTCCCTTGTTGCCACAGCTCGCTCGCCGTGCTTCACTCGACTCGCTCGCCGCCTTTGTCTCTCCAATCTCCACTTCTCCATCAGCTCCGATGTCTCTGTGCTTCCCCCACTGCTGGCTGCTTCGTCCCTGCTCCCCGCTCTCCGCTATCACTGTGCTCTCTCCACTGCTAACTGCTTTGTCTCTGCTCTCCTCTCTCCGCTATCACCGTGCTCTCTCTACTGCTAACTGCTTCGTCTCTGCTCTCCGCTATCACCGTGCTCTCTCCACTGCTAACTGCTTCATCTCTGCTCTCCGCTCTCTGCTATCACTGTTCTCTCTCCACTGCTAACTGCTTCGTCTCTGCTCTCCGCTCTCCGCTATCACTGTGCTCCCTCTCTACTGCTAACTGCTTCGTCTCTGCTCTCCGCTATCACTGTTCTCTCTCCACTGCTAACTGCTTCGTCTCTGTCTTCCGCTCTCCGCTATCACCGTGCTCTCTCTACTGCTGGCTGCTTCGTCTCTGCTCTCCGCTATCACTGTGCTCTCTCCACTGCTAACTGCTTCGTCTCTGCTCTCCGCTCTTCACTATCACTATGCTCTCTCCACTGCTAGCTGCTTCTCTCTTCAGCTGTTCCACGTCTTGCCTCGTCCAGCCCCCGACTCCAACTCCCCGTTTCTCCTCACGTCCCCCAATTTATCCCCGCTCTCATTACACCCCAATTAATTAACCCGCGTCCCAACGGCGCTCCGCGTGCCCGTGCGCCTGTCACCTCGCCAGACTTCAAGACGCCACTTCAGCCCTGACAACAACACCAACCAATCACAGCCGTCCTAGGCTCCCCCCAGCTTAATTGGCCCAATCGTTACCTCATCATCCCAATATGACCCCTTACTGTCCTGCTCCCACGCAAACTCACCAATTACCCCCATGCGCCCATTTATTCCACTACATATGTACAGTACTGTATAATATGAATGTATTTTATCTTTATATACCATAAATATACGCAATTGTTTTTTGAAGCAACATTTTGTAAAAAGTAAAAGTTTGCGAAAAGAACGCGAAAGCCAGCAGACGACACGCAAAGGCTCACAGCGTCCCCCCGAACCCCCCGCTGGAGGTGCTCGCTTCACTCGCAAAGGGGACCAAAATATTTTAAGTGTTTTTTCCAGATCGCGGGGGGCCTGCGCCTCTAACCCTCGCGATATGGAAGGGTTGACTGTATATAGCATACTACATGATTGAAAACAATGGACAAAAGAAGAAAACATGCAGCATGTGTGTTGAAAATCACGTGGTAAATATAGTGAATTCAAATTTGATTTTAGAAAAGATTTTCTAGACTTGATTTTTACTTGTATTCAATATTCAACACATATGGCAACTTAAAATATAAAACCAAACATCTCGACAAGTAGTATTCATATGAATAACACAATTGTATATTTGTACTTAGCTAATGGCTGTTAAGATGTGTGCTTTTTATTCTTCTTAGATCAAACACACAGAGTTTGGCTGTGCAACCTCCTTGCTGTAATGTTGACCTTTTAAGGTCAGGCAACACACAAGCCAGCAGTGAAATGGTTGAGTACTGTGAGTACAGCATTACACGTTTACTACATTATCACTTTTACTGAAAATTAGATCTGTGTTAATAAGCACCTGGAGGAAATCATTTTATTATTATTACACGCTTTTATTTAACTCACTCTGTTGTTGTATCCTCAAATCTTGTAACTCAATTTTAACCCATTTTCCAATGTGGTATCGACTGCAAACTTGGTATACTTATGTCATACTGATAACAATACTATATTCTATCATAACAAATATATATTTTTAAACATTATTTTTTATATGTTATGTTCGGCTTTGGTCTAATTGTCCACGGTCAACTCACGTTGGCTGTAATTGCCCACGGCTCCTTACGTTATGGCAAGCTTCGGAGCCACTTCCTGGATTCGTGGAGTTCTTACATTTACTACAGTACAGTCATGTTAAAAGCGTGTTTTAAAAAGTGTTTTTAAATATGTATTTTATTTATGTTAAGTAGCTCGTCTCCAAGCTACGATTGTTTTGTATAAAAAAGGTCGCCCTGCCAACTTATACCACTGACCAAATCCCATTATTCCTGCCAAATGCTTTTCTTAAATTACAGCGATTTAATTACTGAAAGATGGTTGACATTCCACTTATATTCTGAGAACCCGACATAGTACAAGGATAAGAAATAAAGCAAAAATTTGTAAAGTAAAAAAATAACTACCCTATAAAATGTGCAAGTCAAGGGCATGACTTGACCTGGAGAGTGGGCAAAATATTGGATGTTATTAGTTTGTTGTGATTGTTCACTAAAGTCACATTTACAGATGGTGAATTACACCACGCTGCTAATGATGTTTGAAACGTGTTTGTCCGTCATTTCACGTTCAACTCGAGACACAAAGGTTGTTCCCGGAGGTGCCACTTTCCTCGCGGTGGTTGCCTTGTGTGCCGAAACGTTTCTGTGGCAGTGCAACGGTGTCAGGAAAACCACAGAAGCGAGGCATTCCTAATTTTGTTTTATTCTGTATACAAAAGGTGACTTTGTTATAATGATGTGGGATTTGTTTGTGTTCCTGTGTCTGTCCCAGCACATGGGAGGCATCAAGTTACACCAGAGGTGGCCACAGCGAGTGAATGCATCTACAGTTTGGTGGGAGAGATTGAGACAGTCACTCACTTACCTCTCAGCACGAAATAATCAACTGAATCCAGCTGTCTGGGTATAAATTACTCCGTTTGGTAATATTTTGTCATAACTGTAACCATTTAAAGCATAATTTCAATCCATAGGCCAAAAACAAGCATGCAATCCGCTGTATATACAGTAACTAGCAAATAGTGCATACTGTATATGCTGTCAACAGTCGTGTTTTTTTAGGTAGCTGCTGTCCTGGGAAATCTATCGGTTTTTCCAGGATGCATAACAATAAACCACTCAAGACAGTGCACATTACATGTAGAGTAGTACTCCCGGGTTCCTGATTTTTGTGAGATATATTACCGTCAGATGTCCGGGTGCTTTGTTCCTCAGAGGTGGCAAAGCTAGACATAGGCCACAGTGGCATCAATCAACTATGTTGCTTGCCTGAAACACGATAAACCACGCAGATTAAAACACGTGGGTGACCATGTGTTACTTTTGGTGACCTGTAGATTATGAAAACTCGTCTGCTTTCACAAATAATGATAAACATGTTTTATCAAGACATCATACAAGCTTAAGTTTTTGTATTGTAATGCTTAATAGCCCGCTATTGTTAATTACATACTCAACGTGCTTTAGTTATTCAGAATAAAATATTATATTCACGTTGCACTGTTGTTCTAGGAATTACGCTCAATTTAATTGTGTGAATGCTTTGTGTTACCTGACATTGGTATGGCATCAGAATTTGCCCTCACAAGAGCCATCCAGAATGCAAGTTGACATCACCATCACCGTTATTAACCATTGAGGTATATATAATCGATTTATTTGCAAGCTATATTTATTTATTCATTCTGCTGTAAACTGGACACCGTTAATGGGACGTTCATGCCTTTCTGCCAATCACATTTTGTATGCCAACCATTTACATTGCTATTTGCGTGCGTGAGTTCTCTTGACTCTAGTTTCTTTCTAATCACAAAAATAAATTAGACTAACATACCTAGCGAGACCCCTTCTGAACCTTTGCTAAATCTTTCAATAAAGTCACGTATGTATAAAATAAAATAAATCGCTACGTTTCGGGCGCAACACAAGCGTCCGTCATCAGGTGGGAAAGCTTTCCGAAGGGAGGGTATCAACCCACCTGATGACGGACGCTTGTGTTGCGCCCGAAACGTCGTGATTTATTTTATTTTATACCCACGTGACTTTACCGAAAGAACCAAAGAGTATGGATTCCTGCAGCCACGAAAGCTTCAAATCAAGATAAAATCTTTCAAATTGATATAGTCCGTAATATTTGCTTTACACACTTACCTGCTGTAAAATATACATAAAGACCTTGACGTACAACAGTTGTTCTCTGTAAATGTTATAAAAAAAATAAACAGTATCATGCGAGTACTATATAACAAAGTTTTCTGAAGTTTTGTTTTGTGAAACGGGGAGAAAGGAAAAAAAACCCATGAATGCAGGAGGAACTGGAAATTTCGATAAAACAAGCTGGCACCGAGAAACATAATACCAATCCAGTGACTCCTCTACTTACGAACTTTCAGACATACGAAAAAACCTGTCTGTACAGTGAGGGAAAAAAAAGTATTTGATCCCCTGTTGATTTTGTACGTTTGCCCACTGACAAAGAAATGATCAGTCTATAATTTTAATGGTAGGTTTATTTGAACAGTGAGAGACAGAATAACAACAACAAAATCCAGAAAAACGCATGTCAAAAATGTTATAAATTGATTTGCATTTTAATGAGGGAAATAAGTATTTGACCCCTCTGCAAAACATGGCTTAGTACTTGGTGGCAAAACCCTTGTTGGCAATCACAGAGGTCAGACGTTTCTTGTAGTTGGCCACCAGGTTTGCACACATCTCAGGAGGGATTTTGTCCCACTCCTCTTTGCAGATCTTCTCCAAGTCATTAAGGTTTCGAGGCTGACGTTTGGCAACTCGAACCTTCAGCTCCCTCCACAGATTTTCTATGGGAGTAAGGTCTGGAGACTGGCTAGGCCACTCCAGGACCTTAATGTGCTTCTTCTTGAGCCACTCTTTTGTTGCCTTGGCCGTGTGTTTTGGGTCATTGGCATGCTGGAATCACGACCCATTTCCAATGCCCTGGCTGAGGGAAGGAGGTTCTCACCCAAGATTTGACGGTACATGGTCCCGTCCATCGTCCCTTTGATGCGGTGAAGTTGTCCTGTCCCCTTAGCAGAAAAACACCCCCAAAGCATAATGTTTCCACCTCCATGTTTGACGGTGGGGATGGTGTTCTTGGGGTCATAGGCAGCATTCCTCCTCCTCCAAACACGGCGAGTTGAGTTGATGCCAAAGAGCTCCATTTTGGTCTCATCTGACCACAACACTTTCACCCAGTTGTCCTCTGAATCATTCAGATGTTCATTGGCAAACTTTAGACGGGCATGTATATGTGCTTTCTTGAGCAGGGGGACCTTGCGGGCGCTGCAGGATTTCAGTCCTTCACGGCGTAGTGTGTTACCAATTGTTGTCTTGGTGACTATGGTCCCAGCTGCCTTAAGATCATGGACAAGATCCTCCCATGTAGTTCTGGGCTGATTCCTCACCGTTCTCATGATCATTGCAACTCCACGAGGTGAGAGCCCCAGGCCGAGGGAGATTGACAGTTCTTTTGTGTTTCTTCCATTTGCGAATAATCACACCAACTGTTGTCACCTCACCAAGCTGCTTGGCAATGGTCTTGTAGCCCATTCCAGCCTTATGTAGGTCTACAATCTTGTCCATGACATCCTTGGAGAGCTCTTTGGTCTTGGCCATGGTGGAGAGTTTGGAATCTGATTAATTGATTGCTTCTGTGGACAGGTGTCTTTTATACAGGTAACACGCTGAGATTAGGAGCACTCCCTTTAAGAGTGTGCTCCTAATCTCAGCTCATTACCTGTATAAAAGACACCTGGGAGCCAGAAATCTTTCTGATTGAGAGGGGGTCAAATACGTATTTCCCTCATTAAAATGCAAATCAATTTATAACATTTTTGACATGCGTTTTTCTGGATTTTTGTTGCTATTCTGTCTCTCACTGTTCAAATAAACCTACCATTAAAATTATAAACTGATAATTTCTTTGTCAGTGGGCAAACGTACAAAATCAGCAGGGGATCAAATACTTTTTTCCCTCACTGTATGTCCAGTTGCCTGTTTGGAATGAGAGTCGTAAGTTCAACTGCCGTGCAATAGATGACAGTGGAGGCATCTACATCTGCAGAACGTGAAGAACTCGTGACATCTCCAGGAGATTATTCAACTTTTGAAGCCATTCCCGTGTTTAGTGTACATGTCGGACGTGTTTGGAATCGACACGGGTAAAGTTCCACTTACGAACATATCGACTTTACAAACAGAACTCTGAAACCTAACTCGTTCGTAAATAGAGGAGTCCCTGTAGATAATCGATTATCCGGTCGCTTCAGGGAGAAGGGGGCGCCAGATTTTCGAAAACGCCAGATAATCACATCATGATTTAAAGGAGCATATTTTTTCACATTCTTGTATAACATGTTTTTAGGTGTTGTGTATGTTTTTTAGTTTTTTTTACATTTGTTTATATGAAATTGGCATATTGCCAATAGAAAAAATATTACTGTACCGTATTTACCACTCCAATCTCGAAGACTCTGCATGGGGTGATGTACGCACGAGCCTCTTGTGGTGCCACGACCGTGGAGCAACTCCGCAAGCGCCGCGACTCCCTCCCACCCCCCCCCCCCCCCCCGCACTAAACACGCCACACGCACACATGCACACACGTAGGACCCCGGTGGGGGGTTGCCTGGCACCATGTGTTTTCATCCGAAGGGCCCCTAGCGGAGATGTCCCACGGTTTCCCGGTGCCAGGAGATTGGCCGACCCCCCCAGGCCAAATTGCATTGCGGCCCCCCTTAAATTGGCTAAACATTGTATGGGCACACAGAAGCTCACCGGGCTAACCGCAGTGAGACACTCACAGCACGGGGGAGGGGCCAGGGGGGGATATTACTCGGGCAGCGCAGACGAGGAGGTGGGAGGGAAATTCATGAACACATTGCAGATGTGTATTCCGCGGGACGGCCACCCCATCAAACCGGTTGAGTCTGGGGTGGGGAGGATGGGTGCGTAGATAATGGATCGAGGCGTAACGGAAAGTAACGCTCCAGGTAAGGGCTGGGCATTGGTTTAAAATCGAAAGGTAGGTGCTCGATTGGCCACGCAGGGTAACACCACCTGACCATTCAGCCGCCCGGTCCGACTCCTAGCCGCTCGCAGCGTCCGAGAGACGCTAGCGAGTGCCGCTACGACTCGACCCCAGGCAGAGACCTCTCGGATCATCGTCCCTCCGACAACCACAGCGACCGTGTGACACCGTGAGTGGGGGTACCCCCTAGGGATTGAATAGGGATAGGTGAGGCGCTGCTCCTTTAGACGCGCCCTTAATAAACTTAAGTTCAGAATATCGGTGTGATTTCTGTGTTGGGAGAGTGTCTGCGTGGAGTGTGTGTCCGCGGCGCGCGGGTAGTAACTCAAACTGCTCCCGCGCGATTAATAGGACGAAGAGGAGGGCGAGTCAAAACTCGTTCGCCGGCGTTACGCGCGTATTTACGCACGAAAACACGAGCATTCAAGTGCGAGGCGCGAGTGTGGGAGAGACGAGCACCTGCCGCTTGCTGTGTGAGTAATTAGGGCGGGGTGCAGTAAACCCGCTCGCTAACGCAATAGCATGAGCGGCGAGGCGCGCGCGTAATTTCGCCATGTGTTTTAACATTAGTCGTGGGGTGCGAGCGGATTAGGGAGGTGCGAGCGTATTATGGATACAGCGGCCGTTTTTCTTTGTTTAGCGCTCGGCGCGTGCGGGACAACACCGGCGGTGGTGAGCCAGCCGTGTAGCGATGCCCCTCAGAGAGGGCGCTGGTGCGGGGGGAGGCGATCACCCGATCGGCGGGGGCCCGGCGAGAGGTGGCCGACGAGGAGGAGGAGGGGGGAGTGGAGGGGGTGGACGTCGGCCCCCACATACGTACGAGGCTCTTGTTTTAACAACCATGATGTGTTTGACGATCGCCGGACTGATGCAGCCTTTAGAGCGGGTTTTCTGGTTTCGACTGATCGGCCCAGGGCCGCTGGATAATGTTGGAAGCCGGATAATCGATAATCAACTGTACTGCCATTATAAATGTAATCAAAATCAGAGTATTTATACTGGAGGAATCCGATAAGTTATACTGCTCTTTTTCACAGATGTCTGGGCAACTTAAGTTGCTTGCCTAAAACAGACACTACAAATATTATAACTAGATCATATGATTATAAACATTAACTTCTTATCCCTCTATTGTGAAGTGGTAAAATGACGTTCGCATTTAGTTGTCCGAAACCCATCTGAATCAGTCCCCCCCCCATCTCTCACTCGGACGCCTTCACAGCCGCCCCGAGACCTCCCCGAGGCACAAATCAGATTATTGTTGTGGTGACCTATAATATTAACTTAAAATGTTATCTTCATTAGGCAATTCGCGTTGAAAGAATCATCGTATTTTTTTGAAAACACAACAAAGCAATTTACAGAGAAGCATTTTTTATTAGATAAAAAAAATTATCATCTCCAGCTGTTTGGTGTAGTGGCGCCTCAACGCACCTAGTGAACTCACTTAAACAGGTTTGAAAATTTATAAAATGGATTTATGCTTCAATGAGCTAGCTTCCTTTTTTGTGAATTGACGTTCTTAATCAAAATGAAGCACAACTGATGATTTTGTTGGTTCCTCTTTCGATGTAGAACGAATACTTATGATCGACCAATCGATGCGCGTGCACAGTGATAACACTTTCCTGCTCCCGCGTAGAAGACTCAGCCCAATAAGGGGATAGCAGAGCCACTCCAATGAAAATCAAACTCCGCCCATTGTTGTACAGATATGCAACTACTGTATTGTAGGGGCATTCACTTGGATTTCGGTTTAACTGGAGCACATGTGTTCGGTTTAAGCACGTGACTTGTAGTAAACATTTCCAGATGATAAAATTTGGCTTAAGGGAAAATACATTAGTTATTAATTCATGTCAAAATCTCAGGTGCGTGGTTAATCCACAAATTGGATAAACTGCATGCAGCTAATCAAGAATGTACTGTAATTTAAAAGTCAATGCACAGTTTTTGTTCACACTGACAGAGTATGATGCAGAGGTGCGGGAAAGCAGACAAGCTGGGAAGTAGTGGATGCATGCTATTTAGTCATGTCCTCCCTTCTCTATGCTTGCGAAATGTGGACCCGCCAAATGCAACATCTTCATAGGTTAGAAGCATTCAGGCTGGCCTGCCTATGATTCATCCTGGGTTTAATCAGGCTGGATTGTGTGAGCTCACAAATCTTCGAAAGATCTGGACAGTCCCATTGGTGAGCTCCTACCGGGCAGGCAAGACTGCATTGGCTAGGTCATGTAGCCCGCATGCCTAGCTACCGCATATCCAAATAACTTTTGTTTGGCCGGATAAAGGGGGGCTAAATGGGCACGGGCTAGGGAAGAGATGAAATGCTGTGGTATGAGAAGATATGGAGCTGAGTTGATTTGCCAATAACTGGTGCCAGCGCTATCAAGATGGGCCTCTGTGAAGGAGGCTCATGAAGGACGCTACTGGATAGCTGGAGGCATACGCCCTCCAGCAACAACAGGGGGCAGAGGAGCGACGTTCACAACAACGACCGGAGCGCCGGGCGACTAAAACACAGCAGGATGGCACAGTATAGGGCACAGGGCGTGCATCGGCCAGTGATCTCAGTCAACCCATGACAGCTGGGTCTGTCCTGTGCCCTGCCAGTGGGCGTTCGATGCTTCACGTGACCTTAAAGTGCACATAGCCTGGCACAAGCACCATGGTGACGTCACCGCAACTTAATGGCGAATGGCGGTTGTTGTATGTGCGTATACATACCCAGCAACTTGCTTAGTTTCCTGCTGGTGAGCCTTCGACACTTCAAGTGACCTCAAGGTTCACCCAGCCTGGCACAAGCATCATAAGCACAATCACCACCATCTCGTGGTGAACAGCCGCTGTGGTTGCTATATATATCGATACCATTATCCGCGTATGGGCATGTATATACAGTATGTGTATATCTCTACAGGGATAGCGTGAGCAAAATCTCGTCAGCCCCTTGCACCACAGCCACAGCAAATCTGCACTTTCCCTGCTTTTTCGCGACCTTTGGCAGCGCGGGGCATAGTTATATCAGACCGTGCCTGGTCTCCCCTGTTTGAGGGAAAATGTCTTTGTTTACGATACGAATTACCCGGTGGTGGTCCCTCTGCGTGCAGCATGAGCATGGCCTAAATTCGGCCCCTTTCCTTAAGCACACACCCCCAAATACCCCCTCCACCCGCGGTCATGCGACCTTCCCAGGGCTCAGTGAGACAGTTCCTCGGGGTGAAGACCCCCTGTGCATGCCTGACTGGCAGCAGGGAAGGTTTTCTAAATGGAGGGCCTCCCGTTTGGGCCGAACCCTCTCATAGAGTTAGCTACTCTGCCTAACACCAACTCTCACACATACACACACAACGCACCAGCAACAATATAAAAACAAAGACGACACAAACTGTGTAACATGTGCAGTGGCATAGAATAGTAGTGTTGCAGTATAGCGCTGGCTGCTGGCAGGGAAGGGTCTGCGGCTTACGGTAGGTTGTACACCAGAGGGGGGTCTAGGGGAAAAGTCACAGAAGGGGCACACCAAGAACCTGCTGGTAGGTTTTAGAAAGGGGAGGCGTGGTGAGGTGGAGCCAGGCCATGCTGACAGTATAAGAATGGCCCCTGTAGGGGACCTCGGGAATGTTGTGTGGAGTGGGATCCCCGTCGTACTGCTGAAGTCTTGGTCACAATTCTTCTCGTCGCCTTCATCATCCTTCTTGTCATTGTCTCCATCTTCACCATCTCGGGGCGTCACCAGTCAGGCAGCCTACTAACTGTCCTGAGTAACGTTGCTGACAATAGATGGACCAATTATAAAGTGTTAGTAAAGAAGTGCCTCCACCTCTTATCGTCTCCGAGTCAGCCATTACACATGTATTCTCTCACCTTGGGTTTAGCTGGGCTTAGATGAGCTTTCTGGGATGCCTCAACCTGGTGTGCCCAGTGTGGTGGCTCTCCAACCCAGAAGGTGTGCGTTCCAATGGAACCCAACGCCTTCCAGTTCCTTCACAAACGTCCAGCCTCCAGCTTGCCCTCCAACCGACTGTTCCTCCAACCCATTTGTCTCTCCTTCCCAGTTTCCGTCCACTCTAGGCCACAGCTCCCTGATTTGCTACCGATGGAGGGGTTGTGCAGGATTCGCAAGCACCGATCACATCACCCAGACTCTCACATTCCAATCAACTGACAATTAGCTCAGTTTAACACGTAGGCTTTCACAACCAATATCACCCATAATAGAGTTTTTTGGGTTAGATCGCGTAAATATATAAATGTATCGTTAAAACCCGCCACCGCCCAACACAGCCAACAAGTAAGGGTTGTCACGTAAACAGAACACGCCAATTCGTCACTAGGGCAGCATACTGGTGTATTGGAGAGCCAAACCACAACATTTACAAACTGAGTACGATGTTTTGCCAGTAATTACAACTAGCTTCATCAGGCGACATCCAGATTTGTGGAGTATCCTTACTGTTTTGTTCCTTATATAGAGGCGTAGATGTGTTGACCACCCTTCTGCACTCTAACACAATGTGGAGGGGGTGGAGGGGTTACTGAGGCAACGTACATTATGCATGTGCATTATGCGAGCCCTTTGAACTTGTCCTTCCTGTCTATTGTGTTTATTAAAATAGCCCTACCAACGGTAATTCCTATTGAATATTCTGCTCGGACGGGGTAGAAATGGTAAAATAACACACAGTGTTTAAAAACGCATACTGACGCCTATCTGAATGCAGTCACACCATCACCCCGCACAGAAATCTGCTCTTATCAAGACGCTCATTCATCGAGCTAAGAAAGTGTCAGATGGTGACAGTCTGAGAAGTGAAATTGAACATGTTAAAGAAGCATTGTAAATGAATGGTTACAATGATGCACAAATCAACAGGGCATTGAAATACCAAAACCAAATTAAATAACGAGAGCATTGAAACTGCCCAAGTAATTAAAACTATGAAAATACCGTACATTGTGGGAGTAACTGATAAACTAGACAGATGTTTGGAAAAACAAAACATCTGAGTCAGATTTGGCACGGTACATAAAATACAGAATTTTATATCTGGTACAAAAGATGTATTACCGAAGCTATCAACAGAAGGTTTGTACAGGATTAACCGCACGTGTGGTAACTGTTATGTTGGGCAAACAGGATGAATGATCAGCACAAGACTAAAAGAACATTAAAGAAATATTAAATTATCCCAAATGCAACTGTCAGCAGTAGCAGAACACGCGTGCCAACAAGGACACTCAATTGATTTTGATAATGTTGAAGTATTGTGCAAAACTAGCTACTACTGGCCAAGACTAATTATAGAATCTATCGAAATTGAAAGAAATCAAAATAACTTTAACCGTTCGGATAGTTACCGTCTTAGTACTGCGTGGAAGTGAATCATGAAATAATACATTATTTAAATGCATGCCTACAAAGGGCAGCGTACTTCAATAGGAATTACCGTTGGTCGGGCTATTTTAATAAACGCAATAGACAGGAAGGACAAGTTCAAAGGGGTCGCATAATGCACATGCATAATGTACGTTGCCTTAGTAATCCCCCGCCCCCCCCCCCCCCCCATTGTGCAAGAGCGCAGAAGGGTGCTCAACATAACATTGCCACACGTGCAGTTAATCCTGTACAAACCTTCTGTTGATAGCTTCAGTAATACATCTTTTGTACCAGAAGGACTTGTTTCAGCTGCCTGTTTCTCTCTCCCACCTGAAGACGATTGTTTGTGTGGCGATCGAAACGTCGTGATCTATTATTTTTTCTACCTACGTGACTTTACTGAAAGAACCAAAGAAGTATGTACACATTTTAATGACAAAATCTACAATAACTGAGAGGCAGCTCACCTCTCTTGCCAAACAGCAGGTTGGAGTAGGTGTCCATGGTTAAGACGGCCCAGTGGGGGCAGATAAAACAATTGTTCTGCCTCACGGCAGGTGTGGGGGTGTGTCTACACAGCAATGTCCTGTTTGGAGGTTGAGTTTGGTCACGTGACCAGGAAGTTACGATTTGACAGCCTCTAAGCCATGCGGCAGGGTATCGGCCATTGCACAGAGTACAAAATGGTGGCACAAATAGCGTCCCACTCAAGACAGGTGCAACTGTTCATTGTGGGACTTTAAGAAGCATTGTCTGTCAGTTCGTTTATGTTCTTATAATACTGAGAATGCTGTTATGTTAGAATGGCCGTTATAATGCTGTAAATGCCTTGATAATGCTGTTAAATTGTTATGATAAATATGAGGCCTAGTTAACGAAGCATGCCACTTGCCTTATTGTGAATGTTACTTGTAATTTAATAAGTCAAGTCAGACTTGTACGCATGTAACCTTATTGCAACCTTGAGAGCAAGGATGACGAAATCTCATCCACAGTTCAGTGTTATGTGTAGTGCTGTACATTTAGGCTGCAGCATGGTGATTATACGATGTGCCCTTACTCTTGTATAGCTATTCAGTACTAATGTAGGTGCCTGGTTCATCCAGGATCTATTGTTGAGTTTCATGTTATCTAAGACAATGTTACGATGCTGTAGTGTTCATTCAATGTATTGATATTTCAAAGTATTGACAGATGCTGTATTTGTGCTGTGTTTTTACATCAGTTTTACCTCATTCAATTCATTAAATACGTTTGGAGTCGGATGTTCACCCTGGCTCTGAAGGTTTATTGAATGCGAAGTTATCTACTCGGATAGTGGTGCAACGCAGCGCACAGCGAGGCCGAGACAATAATAATAATAATAATTCAGTGAAGACCAATCCCGCAGATGAATGCTAACCCTGAGGAACTGCAATGTTTGTGACAATTAACTTGGTAACCCTACACACCAGTTGGATACACGTGAATTCATTATAAAATCAACTTTTAGGAAGTGCACTGCAAAGGTAGAAATGTAGGAGCACATCACGTTGAGGTCAAGTATTGGTTGTTTGGCCTTTGCTTACTTAGATTATACCAAGTGGTAACTAGGAATAATTTTAGTTTCATATCTTGGCATACTTTACCTGAAGCTGAGGGCCCATTTAATGTAAAAATTGGTTTATGGTTTTACGGAAGTCCAGCATTGCATGGAAAATGTGCAAGCAACTTATCAGTTGATCTCAAAACGGAGCTGTAGTCACGGAAAATTATTGTTCCTTTCTCACAAATTTTTGCCAAAGGAATTTACAACTGTAATGAGAAGGTTAATTTTGGATTTTAAACAACAGCATATAACTAGAAATAAACAGTAAGCGATTTAACGATAGATTACAAAAAAGCTGCCACAAAATGGCTTGCATTTTCTATGTTTTTAAACTATTCCTACTTATCGAAGCACTCGGAGGAGGTAAGTACTTTTGATTATTTGTTATCTCAGTTACAGCAACATGTTCAGGAGGAACTATTGTGAAATTTACAAACCAACTACAGGAGAACTCTTCTTGTCGGTGATGTAAGAAGAATACTTGAGCTTTCCTGTTATGCACCGAGATATCCTGTTGTGTGTAAATGTAACCTGTGATAATTGTCAATAAGATAATATCAAGTGATACAGGACCACTTGTGTTTTTGCGTAAACTGTGCAGACAACAGTTGCCATGAAGTGCAGTGTAGTGCAGTGCGTTGTGCTTCACAATTGCTGCGGTAGCAGCAGCAGCAACAAAGACGATGACATCCAATGTCAAACATCATCCATCATTTTCATTTCCTCATCCTCATCTCCTTCGTCATTGCTATTTTAATTCTCAGGCTGTTCAACTATCACTAATCTTCATTGACTTATTCTATTGTACCCCGCACCGTGAGCAGAGTAGACCACTCATCTCCCGCATATTTGCCGACCTCTGTCCATATCACTGATGGTGACTGGCAACAGTAAAGACAAAAGTTGCCACCATTATTATCTTGCATCAGAGTGATTAACATAGGCATTGAGAGAAGTGACTATAGTAGTGATGAAGAACTACACAAACTATCATCATAGTCATCCATCATCACCTCTTGTAATCATGGATAATAAGCTCGATTTTGTTCCTTAAGGAATATAAGTTAGCTTCAATAGAACACGTCGCTTCAAGGGATGATGGCCAATCAGATGGAATTAGTCCATGGCCCAGAGCAAAAATTGGTACCACTTCAAGTAGAAACGCTTGAGTGTTACCAATGTATTTATATGGCTAATAAGTAGTGACCTAAACTATTTAAATCATCACATAACTCACTAGTATCGACCACAAAGAAATTTGAACCACTAAAATTATGCCATCTCGTGTGGTATCGATACAGAAAATATCTGGTCAGGGGCTCATGACCTGAAAATAAAATAAAATATTGGCAGCCAAAAGAGGGAATGTGCAACATGTCCACAGTGTAGATAGCACTATCAGTTTAGACCATGTGGAGGTGGTAGGTGGATTGCTGTACCATGGGACTGAGGGATGGTGACAGTTTGGGGAGGCCTTTGTCCAACAGTGGTATTATAGTGGCTGGTAATGAGTGCCGCACTGTCCATGTTCTTGATACTGATTTTATCACTAACATTTGCATTGTTCCATAGTCACATGCCAACAGGGATTGTCCACAACCAATGTGGATGCGAAAGTAAACACCACGGCTTCCCTGCCGTGTGGCCAAGGTAGGAGTGCCGAGCCAGGCTGGGTGGTCTGGTTCAGGGTGGCACGAGGAGCCAGAGGCCAGCCGGTCCCCGTGGCTTTGTGTTCCGAAAAAGAAGCCTTCATCCCTTCTTGCGATCGTGATGGAGGGGGCGCATCAGGGGTGGGGAGGCTCTGCTGCTCTGGGTCTGGTGTCCTCACAATAAGAAGAGTGGAGGCTGGCGACACTGGGACATACACGTGTGTCACGGGGGCTCTTCTCGGCCAGCATGTGTGCAACAACAGTCTCACCGTGTGCGAGGCAGACCTCTGGAAGAAAAGTCAGATTAGCAAGAGGTACAACACGATGACAATGCAACTGTCAGTTACGCGTAAGTAATGCAATCCACCCTCCTGTCTTTGTAATTGTAAATGGCCACCATGGCGTCCACTAGACTGTGGTAAGACTGATGTAATTATAATCATGAAGAGAATGTTGCAATATGTGGGCCACGTGTGCAGGCTGGACGAGGGCAGGTTACTGATACAGGTACTGTAGTGGCACTCAATGGTCAGTGACAAAAGGTGAGACCTAAAGCCAGATGATGGAATAGGTTGAGCGCAGAATTGACAGCTTCAATGTCAATTACACAACATTTGTGGGATCTAGCATGAGAAATAATATACACTATCAAAAGACATGACCTGAATGAATGTGACAAATTTTCGCATAGAACAGTTTGATGTATTTATACAAATGTAATGGAACATTGCAATGTTTTAGAGCAGGGGTCACCAAACTACGGCCCGCGGGCCAGATGCGGCCCGCGGGCCGTAGTTCAGTCCATCAGGCCCGCCGACGGTACTTGAATTTGGTTGATAAAACGTATGCAACACGAGACGTTGTGATACAATTTCAATATTATGTTTAGAATACTAGGAGATCTTCCCGCGTGCGGAGACCTCCTGACTGCTATGTTCCTTAAATTTACTATTTTAAATTATTGTATCTAGATTTTCTTGCTTATTGTAATGTTTGCTTATTTCGCGCCATCCCAAGTACTTCCCCGGCTCGTGGTAGCTCCGCCTACGCTCTAACGTTACCATGGTTTCCATGGCAACACACACAAACACGCATCTTTCCCGCCCCCAGTTTTTCCAGCTGTCAACACAGGTCCGACGCTCCAGAAATATTTATTTATTATGCGGCCCATGCTCGTCATTCTTTCAGTTATCCGGCCCACTGTGAAAAAAAGTTTGGTGACCCCTGTTTTAGAGTAATGTTAATACTACAAAGTGTAGCAATATTCTCCTGAATTACTTTGAATTTTTGTTCAATTACAGACTCGCTGAAGACATACCTCATACACGTTTATACTGGAATTGAAGATAAAGCTGGAACAGATGAAGCCGTTTCTATTACAATCCATGGAAGTGCAGCGAATCCTGCAACGGATCTAACTTCCTCCAAGACACACAACAATCCTTTTGAACATAATCAGGTAAATTGCTTATTGAGTCACAATATGGTGGCCACTGTAAAAGATGACCTTCATTCACTGTTCCTGTATCACTGCTCTTAGCACACATGATCAAAGCAGTTACACAAATGCAAAGGAGCGTATTTGGGGTGTTGTCTGCAACAGCCAACTCAAACATTGCCCACTGAGAAAAAATAAGAAATCCATTTACAAATGAATTGCAGCTCAGCCATTGCAATCCGTGGGTGTGGCATCACTTAAAATAAAATATTGCGATGGTCATAAATACGAATGTAAATAATTCCATAATATACGATACCTCCGATTAGCACGGTTAGCTCCGTATGGTGCAAAATAATTTCAACATACATATGTAGTGACTGATTTGGAGATGCAAGTTCTTAGAGGCAGTTATTTTATTTAACCGAACACCCTTTGCACAATACACACCCTACACTGGTCCACACTCTTCTCTCTCGTTTATAAAACAAATTCTACATAAGTTGCTAGCCTATACACAACACTAGCCATCTAACGCTGACGGCGCTGAATCGAGACAGCCAACTACCGTCTAGCAACGCAATATCAGGTGAAGACGACAGAGATGAAGGCGACGATCTTCAGCAGCAACGACGACAGGGATCCCACTCCAAACGACAGCCCCGAGGTCCCCTCCTGGGGCCCTTCTTATACTGTCAGCGGCTCCGCTCCGTCCATGCCCCCCTTCTGGAACCTACTAGCGGGTTCTCGATGCGTCCCTTCCATAACCTTTTCTCTACATTCCTTTCTGGTCTATCACATGCCCTGATATTAGTCAGGGCTGCTGCAAGCTGCAGATCCCCTTCCCTGCCAGCAGCCAGCGCTAAGCTGCTCCGTGACTGATTCTATGTCACTACACATACATTCAACATACAGCACATACATACTGATGTGATTACAATAGGCATTCGTCAATGTTGCACATGATCAGATGGAGGTTAATCGTCTTTCATCTGTGGAACCCCATCAGTGATCACTGGTATGAATTGTCCTGTGTTGCGTTATACAATCAGTGGTGTGAGAGGTGCACGCTCTGCCAGCACACTAATATATGTTTCCAGGTGAGAAGATGAGTGCCCCCCCCCTCCCCGTGCCCAATCAATTTCACCTGAACATGGGCAGTCACTTGTGCCTGTTACCAAATATTGTTAAGTGGATCCACTTACAGTGTAATTTTGTCCACAGGAGGTTTTAAGTGCTCTGTATTTAAATTGCGATGGACATATCAAGATGCCTTCACGTTGGATTAATTGGTCTGCAAATAATTTATAAAACCTCAATTTTATTTATACATTTTGGACATTAAACGATGTCTGCATATGACATGAATAATTAACTAAATACTTGTCGATAGTAAACTAATTTCAGCTTATAAATCCAAATACATGTACAGTATTCCATGTGCACACATAATTTTAAGTCATAGGACGGCTTTAATTGAAATACAACTCGAAAGGCATCAGCACACCCGATCTTAATACATAACTCATCATCGATGTTTTATTCTCCATGCAATGGAACTCCTGGTGGGACCAAGAAATGTCACTTCAAGTCCATTTTTTCATCTGTTGGAATTGAGATAGGATGAATTTAGCATCAACTTTATGCATGCATAATGTATGTTGATATCCTTCCGAATAACCCCACCGGTAATGGATATCCATTTCATTGATATGCATACATTAACCCCCTCCCTCACCCCCCCCCCCAACCTGGCCATCGCACTTGATTGGCTCACAAGTCACATCACATTTATCGCACTATTTAATACCGAAACAGGATTTCTCCACAACTCTGGATGTCGCCTGATGATGCTAGTTGTAATTATTGGCAAAACGTCATACTCGAATTGTAAATGTTGTGGGTATGCTGTACTAGTAACGAATTGGTATGTTTTATTTACGTGACAACCCTTACTAATTGGTGGGTTTAATTCGATTTAACCCAAAAATTTCTTATGATTTAATAGAGGCCTAACATTTTTATTTGTGCAAATATTACCTAATGCTGTACGACTGGCTCTCTGCTCTTCTCATGAAAGTGGAGCAGTGACTCCAGAACAGCTTAATTAAAAAAGAAATGTTCACAAATCATTTATCGATGAGATCTTTGACTCGTCACTCAACATTTGGTCAGCAAGCAAAGATAGCACGTGATTACGTTAACTTTGAAATATGAATCTTTACAGAAGGACACCTTCATTCTCAAATCGAGAGACATTGGGAACATAACGAGGATTAACGTATCGCATGGTGGTGCTTGGTATAAACCCTTATCAGGCTGGAACCTTGATAAGATTGAGGTGGAAGATGAAGAGTCCCATACCACATTTATGTTTCCACTCAATGACTGGATCGATGGAGGGTCTCGTGTTCTCCATGTTCAGGTGACTCCCATTACTCTCTAATACGTGTCCATGTTTTACTTCACAATTCAACACTGTATTAGATGTGTTAATGTGGCGGTGCATTATCGAAAACTACATGTTAATGTAGGTGTTTAAAGTTATACTACCCAGAATGCACCTGATTTTGTCATATCTCGGAAGATGAGGCTGATGTTACATAAATTTATTGCATTACATCATTGCCTGTGAACATGGCAGTTTAACTAAGATTTGAGTCTGGTGTGATTACTTCATGCACTTAGTACATGGTGTTAGAAGTTTATGGACCCACAATTATGCTAATCCATTGAGGATCTGACGCTACTGAGTACAGTGGGCAGAAGCATTGCGAGTTCAGACAAAGGATTGCAATGATATCCAAGAGGCTTGAGGGATAGAAGGAAAGCACTTTTTCAGCATCATTTCGGCTGCCATCACTATTCCAGCTCCAGAAAGAATGAAGATGAGTGGTGATAAGAGGAGCAATTGGGAAATCTTCAAGAGCTGACTTTGAACACGACTCCATAGTAACAGGCCTAAATGAAAAACTCATAGATGTGTTAGCAGCCAAACTTAGGTGAGTGATGACCACCTGAACAGTTTAGTTATGCAAGTGAGAGAGAACGCAGCAAGTTGTGACTATGACCCACTGAATGCGCAACTCATTTGGGACAAGTTCTCATCTTATAAAGCGAGGGTATCACGTCTTGTAAGAGCGTGGTTTGGACTTGAGTACAGCAATCATGATGTGCCACACAGTGGAACGAACCGTCAAACACTTGAAAGCAATGGTGCAGCAGCACACACACAGTAGACACGGCAGATGGACAGCAAGATGTACAGCATCAATGCAGCAGAAAAGACAGTGAAGCACAGCTGGCTGGCGTGGCAAACAACTGCAAAATGGTTAGCAAAGCAGCTCGTCTTCAACCAGGCCCACAACGTGCAAGTATTGTGGTGATGTGCACCAGCACAGGGAAGAGCAGTACCCAGCGTACAGGAAAATGTTGCCCAGTGTGCCTGTCATGCAGACGGCCAAAGTCAGTGCAAAAGCCACATACCATGGGCCAGGAGACCGAAGATGAAGATCTCCAAAGCGTCAACGGAATTTGTTCAAAAGAATGCAGCACTGCTAAGTATACAAAAAGCCAGACATAGTTCATGAACCTCATCCTAAACCAAAAACTACAAACCTGGTAACTGGACTCTAAGACAACATGTAATGAGTCTGAAAGTTGAGATAAAGCTAGCATTTAGGACCCAGATATAGCCAATTGACACAAACTGAAGCTGTACGTAGGAGACCTGATTAAGTTCTTGGGACCCCGATGGAAAGGAACAATCTGCAGATTGAAAAGGAAAGTCTGAGCATAGTATTCACCTGCCCGCGTTTCCACCACTATCTCTGGCCGAGAAGTGACCGCAGCATAAACAGACCACAAGCCTCCTGTATCCTTTTCCAAGGACATCTTGAGTGCTCCAAAGCAAAAGCATGCTGCATAATAGTTTTTTATTTGTGATAGAGCAAAATCCTACGTGAAAGCCTACATGTTAAACCAATAGCATACTGTTAATATTACATAACAACCTTGATGTCATCTACAAGCCAGGCCTGAAGATATACACCAGCAATATGCTCAGCTGAGCAGCAGACAAGATGTCCAGAGCTGCTTGCAATTTTCAGCAAATAGCAGGAGCAAAACGACATAGCACAAACTAATCAGGCAGAGTATAATAATCTTACACACCAGTGATGGTGCCAGATTGTGTAGCACACTGTAAGATATGAAATTTCGCAAGCACTGAAGTCGATTGTTCTTTCTTCTTTGGTTCTTTCGGTAAAGTCACGTAGAATGAGAATAAAGTAATAAATTAATAAGATTAAATAACACAATAAAATTCTCACGACGTTTCGGCCACAACACAAGTGGCCTTCTTCAGGTGAAAGGAACAGACCTGTCGTGACGACAGAGCTTCAATGGAAGGAAAGTCTGAGCATAGTGTTCACCTGCTCTGGAAGCTCTGTCGTCCCGACAGGTCTGTTCCTTTCACCTGAAGAAGGCCACTTGTGTTGTGGCCGAAACGTCGTGAGAATTTTATTGTGTAATTTTATTAATTTATTATTTTATTCTCATTCTGCGTGACTTTACCGAAAGAACCAAAGAAGATGAATCCTTGCAGTCACGAAGCTTTAAATCGATTGTTCTAATTTATTATTCTCACAAACATGGGTGTAAGTCAATTACTGTTTCCATTTCATATACTCTCATTATCTATACTAAACAATATAGTATATTTTGCAAGAGCACCATCATCACTAATCTCATTATACATCTGCCATGTATTAGTAAAACTTGGAAAACAATATTGTGCAAGAGTACCAGGGTCATGCCCCTTTCGTTACAAAATATTTACCAAAGCTGCACTAACACCGGTTACAGAATGTTGAGTCCATTTGTGAAATACCCTCAAAATGTATTAAATCTGATATTCATTGCAATTAATATTCTTAATTGCATGCCATTATATAAACAAAATGAGGTAGTGTGGTGCTTATTAAAAATTGTATAAATACATGTTTTTACTTCCAGAAAATCATAATGAATTCCCAATTTCAAAACCACGCAAAGGAAGAACATTGCATCCGTGGTACGTAACAAATACACTGAAATGTTATCAACTTAAAAAACAAAAGTACAGGGTTTTTTTACGTCAGAGCCACTTGTAGAACAGTACTTGATTTAACATTTTATATCAAGACCCTAATACTCAAGTCCACAGGGCTTGGTCTATGAGATCCCAATTGCAACAAACGTAACGGAATACGAAGAGCACACATGGGCTTTGTCCACACGTGCATTAAGCTGCACATCCACAAGCAAATGACCTTCATGGCATGATTTATGACTGCAGAATGCCAGAGGCATAAAGAGTCGTGGGAAACATCAGACGCCACCTTGTTGGCGTCTGATGATTTCCTACCACACTTTGCCCCTACGCCGGAGTGGGTGTGATCACTGTGCAATTGGCAGCAGTGGGAAAGAGATAATTGAGACGGCTATCGAGCTGCAGTATTCACTCAGGTTTCCCACGGCCTCCGGCCCTCTGCTCGGTTACAGGAAATGAGCCTTGAAGCAGATAGTCATGTTACGTAAATCATCGCAACACCAAAAATGCATTATCAGCGTAGAGGTGCATATTGTCTTTGTATGTACACAAGTGTCTCTCTATGTTGGACGCCAACAAAGAGTGGACGCAGTTTAGATTTTTTTTTTAACAGCAGGCCTGTTGAAGTGTATATCTGCAGGTTTTTAAAGATGTTAAATGAGAATAAAAACAACTTTTAGATAACAAAGTTTCGGGTGCTTTAAAGAAGAACATGATACTGAATCAACATGAGTATTGCAATTTAAAGCTTTTTTGACTGCAGGAATTCATATTCTTGATTCTTTCGGTAAAGTCACATAGAAGGGAAACAATAAAATCATAAAAATATAAAACAAAATTCTCACGAAGTTTCGACTGCAACACAAGCAATCATCATCAGGTGTGAAAACCACAGCAAGAAATTTTGAAAAAAGTGGCGTTTTTTCACGTTATCACCATGGAAAGCGATTTGGCAGTTATTCAGATTGACGATTCCATCTATGTTCGGAAAAGAGGAGGGGGGAGACGAAAATAATGGATGCGGTCTGAAAGCCACCGTAAGCGTGAACAATTAATTAAGACCCGAAATGGTTGATCAAATCCTTCCAATGATTGCTAAGCCAGAATCCATCTTCTCGGTTGAAATTGTCTCTGTGTTTGTATATGTGGATAGCCTCATGAACGAATCTCTCCTGGTAGCCAGATGGCTTGCAAAGAACCTCTGTCTTGGAGAAGTCAATGTCATGTGAGCCTACTAAATTATAACAGTGATTTGCCACGGCCGAGGTGTTGTTCCTACCGTGTTTTAGGTCTGCTTTGTGTTCACGAATGCGGTCCAAGACATGTCGTTTGGTTTCTCCAATGTAACTACTACCACAGAGGCAACTTAGTTTGTAGACGCCAGGGTACTGTATGTCCGGAATCACATCTTTTTACAGACGGAACCAGATCACGGATTTTATGTAATGTGTTGAATCGGACCTGGATCTTCTGTTTATTCAAGATTTTGGAGATCTTTTTTGTGATCCCCGCAATGTAGGGTAAAGTGATGGTTTTGAAAGGCTCCTCAAGAGGGTCCTTCTTCATGGCTGGAGTGATCGCTTTAAGGATTGTGTAGTCGGAGTAACCATTAACCTTAAGAGCTTGGTGTACGTGCTTGAGTTCACTGGATATGTGTTCCTGGTCGGATATGCATTGGGCTCTATGGTGCAGAGTCTTGATGAGGGAATTCTTCTGGGATGGATAGTGGTGGGAATCCGGTTTCAGGTAAGCATCCGTATGGGTAGCTTTCCTGTAGACAGAGTAGCTCATTGAACTATCAGGTCTCTTTTTATTAGGACATCCAAAAAAGGTAGCTTGCCATATTTTTCGACTTCCATGGTAAATCTGATGGTTGGGTGTATAGAATTGATGTGGTCGAGGAATTGGTCTAGAGCAGGCCGGCCATGTGGCCAGATGACAAAAGTGTCATCAATTATTTTCGTCTCCCCCCTCTTTTTCGAACATAGATGACTCGTCCATCTGAATAACTGCCAAATCGCTCTCCGTGGTGCTAACGTTAATAAAACCGCCACTTTTTTCAAATTGTATTGCTGTGGTTTTCACACCTGATGATGATTGCTTGTGTTGCAGTTGAAAAGTCGTGAGAATTTTATAGTTTTATATTTTTATTATTTTATTGTTTCCCTTCTATGTGACTTTACCGAAAGAACCAAGAATATGAGTATTGTAGTTTGCATGTTTTATTTGAAGCCAGGCAACAGTCACACATTTAGAGAGCTGTTGCCAGAACCGCCCTGAGATGTCATAGCACATCCCGTAAATACCCTTATCCACAACTTATTGAACCTTCCTAACCACTGCCCCCTCTTGACCAATAAGGCCATCCTTTCTCCAGCCGGTCTCTAGCCGACCTCTCCTTTTAACATTTTCCCACTCTCTCTTTTCAAACTTTCCTTCCAATCCATTTGACTCTCCTTACACTTTACAGATTCGGTGTGTGCTCAAATGTGGCTAATTGAGCAAGCAAAAAGTTTTGCTCTACCCATTATGCTCCTATGGGCTTTTTGCAATACATAGGTTACGTCTTCGGTATCTCTTACGTGCATTCAACGATAACCGGTATTCACCAGTAAGAGGCAGTGAAACCCACTTTAGTGCTCGTGCCAGGCTCAGATCACTTTGAGGCAAAATAGGATGTCAAAGGTCCACTGGCAAGAGGTCACAGGACAGACCCAAATATTACAGGGTTCACTGACCAAGATCCCTTGGCTAACAATGACATCGGTTAACGGTTTTTCGGGTAAACGTTTCGCCTTCTGTAGGACCCCCCCCCCTCCGATTGGTTTCGACGAACATAAACATTTACATCGGTGGTACGTTTATGTCAAACACACGGCTGCCAATTTCGGCCAATCCGAGCGCTCGTAAATGGGGTGAGCCAGCGACGCCCATCTATGAACGTTGAGACCTCGACTGGCTTTGTTGACATTACGCGCTGTGTTTTGGCAGTGGAAAACAGCTCTCTTGCAGACTCAGTTATTTTTTAAACTTATTTCTCAAGTTAGAAGTGAATTTTCTTAACAGGTATTTCGGTTAACAGACGTTTTTATGGAATGGATTAAAAACGTTATTTGAGGGACCTACTGCACATCCTTGTTGTGTTGTAGCTGCACAGCGCTCTGTTCATTGTTGCAAGCATCTCCACCCTCCATGGTTGGTGGAGGGTGATTGTGTCAACTGGTCTCGCAGCATCTTTCCTGAGCCTTCTTCACAGAGGCCGATCTTAACACCACCCTGCTACGAATTGTAGGCCAGTTTAATTTTCTCCCAAGTTCTGGACCACATCGGCCCATCTAGCTTGGTTAGATGAACCTCGCATGTGGAGAGACACAGCATGCAGCCAGGGACAGGAGAAGATGGAGAGAGGCCATTGTAGCCTTATGAGTCTCATAGGAGATGAAAAGTAAATGTAAAATGTATATCTGGCCAAACAGAGACATATCTTTTATATTGTGCCATGCCCCTTTAGGCCCTTCTATCCAGACAAATAGATGCTTCTTCAGCAAGCAGTAGCTATACATGTGGGCTACATGACCCAGCCATGGCATCCTGTCTGTTGTCTGCCACGGGACCCCACTGGTTGATGGTACTGTGTTCAGATCTTTCAACAATTTGTGATCTCACACAATCCACCGTGCATAAACCCAACAGGGATTGTAGGCAGACTGGTTGCAAACTCAAAACAGCTAATATAATGTAATACGGTATGGGAATTTCCGAATAGCATAAAAGCCTATAATATGTAAATAGTTAACACGTGCATACTGTACTTGCATTACACATTTTATGATACGGTGCGTGTTGCTGTCGCCATTTCTCATCAGGTATAGTGGACATGAAGACTCTGTGCGAACAACGTTTTGCATTCCGACGTGTAACAGCCAAGCCATTTACATCTTCTACGGAACCAAGGGACGATCCATTAAACTCGGCGCTTCCCGATAATCACCGAGCCGGGGCAATCCACGACAGGCGGAACGTGACGGTTCCAGCCATTGCAGGAACTCTGATAATCTTAGCTCCTGTCGCTTTGGCTGTTGCATGCCTGCTCTGTCATTTGCGAAAAAGAAAAACATTGACAAGTGAGTTATGCTTCTCGTTATTTGTTTTAAAAATGCTTCATTCTTGCCACATTTTCATATCACGAGTGGATTTATTCGCATTTTTGTTTTAATTAATATACGACATACCTATGCAACAACAACAACCGCCATTCGCCACTAAGTGGCGGTGACGTCACGACGATGCTTGTGCCAGGCTATGTGCACCTTGAGGCCACGTGAAGTCACGAACGCCCGCTGGCAGGAGGTCACAGGGCAGACCCAGGTGCCACCGGTCGACTGACTGAGATGACTGGCTGATGCACCACCTGTGCCCCCTACTGTGCCAACTTGCTGTGCTTTAGCCACCCGGCGCTCCGCTCGTTGTTGTGAGCGTCGCTCCTCCGCCCTCCGTTGTTGTTGGAGGGCGACTACCTCCAACTGCCCAGTAGCGTCCTTCACGAGCCTCCTCCACAGAGACCGATCTTGACACCGCTGATACCAGTCATCGGCAAGTCCACTCAGCTCCACATCCTCCTGTACCACATCACTCCATCTCTTCTCTAGCCCGTACCGCGCCCGTTTATCCCCCTCTATCCGGCTGAACAAAAGCTGTTTAGGCATGCGGTGGCTGGGCATGTGGGCTACATGACCCAGCCAACACAGCTTTGCCTGCCGGAGGAGCTCACTGATGGGACTTTGCCCAGATCTTTCAAGGATTTGTGGGCTCCTCACACAATCCAGCCTGGTTAAACCCAGGATGAATCGTAGGCAGGCCATCCTAAATGTTTCTAACCGGTGACGATGCTCCATTAGGGGGGTCCACGTTTCGCAAGCGTAGAGAAGGGAGGGAATGACCGTGGCCGAGAAGACCTGAAGCTTCGTGCGGAGCGACAGACCAGGTAGCTTCCACACAGCGTTACACAACCGATGAAAAAATATTGCCGCCCGACTGATTGGGAGTGAGACCTCTGCTATTAAACAGGAGCCAGTTATGAGCACACTGCCCAGATATGGGAAACTCTCCACTCTCTCCACAACTGCCCCATCACCGATTGGGAGTTGTGGGGGTGGAGTGTCCGATGGTACAAATTACCCAGGCAGGTGCTTAGTTTTGGTGGGGCTGATGGTAAGGCCCCACCTCTTAGTGGCACGCTCCAGTTTCAGCAGCAGCGTCTCCAACTCATCCTCTGAATGAGCAGCAGTTACCAAATCATCGGCATACATAACGTGGTTGACCAATAGGGAGCCATCCCTTGACCGCACCCAGGCATCGATCAGCCTCCCATTATATCTGTACCAAATGGAAATTCCCCCGGTACAGCTATTGAAGGCTTCACGAACTACGTGGTCAAAATAGATGTTACATAATGTGGGAGCCAGAGGACATCCCTGTCGCACCCCAAGATGTACAGGTAATGGCTCTGACTCACAGCCACGTAGTTTTACCAGGGCCCGCTCACCATCATGAAGGTCCTTAATGATCGTGAGCAGAGGGTCAGGGACTCCGAAAGCACGAAGAACAACAAAGAGCCCAGGCCTACTGATGGTATCATAGGCCTTGACCAGGTCAATAAAGCAAAGATGTAGGTCTTGTTGGAATTTCCTACACCTTTGCTGTAGCAGACGGACAGAATATATGGCATCTGTGTAGGACCGCCCTTTCCTGAAACTGCATTGGGGCTCTGCAAGCCTCTCCTCAGCGTGCCTAGCAAGGCGATGTTGAATAATCCTTGCCAGGACCTTTCCCTGGCACATTGAGGAGATGCCCCTGTGGTTGTTACAGTCTGTGCGGTCCCCCTTCTTAAATGACATCCTTACAATCCTGCGAAACCCGTCCAGTGGTCCAGACTGTTGTTATGATGTCATGTAGGGCAGTCTGTGCACAAACGCCACCCTCCCTCAGCATTTCACTTGGAAGATCATCTCTGCCCTGTGCCTTTCCTGGTCTCAGACTCTGAATCGCCTTCAGTACTTCCTCAACAGATGGCACCTCAGCCAGCCACTCACAGGGGGTGACTTCTTCAATATTTGAGGCACTGCAGCCTCAGCAGGGTTATCCCCACTTTGTGCCACAATATTTGCCTGGCTGAGGGATTTCCCCTCCCCCAGGACCTCAGAAATGCTCAGCAAATCTGCAAACCTGTTCCTGGGGGTCGGAAATTGGATCACCGTTTTTCCCCCTAATGATGGCAATAGGTGTGGTGCTGCAGGTTACTTTTTTGATGGAGTTAAATAGGGATTTGTGATCACAGGCCACTGAGGCAGACTCCATCTCCTCAGCAACCCGCGACCACCACCCATCTTTGCAGCGCCTCACGACACTCCCAACCTCCGAGCGAAGGCTGCGGTAAGCCTTCTCATTGTCTGACGTGGGATGCTGTAGACGATTAGAGTGGGCCTGTCACTTTTTCTCAACCATCCTGAACATCTCCTCTGTCAGCAAGGGTCTCTGGGGAGGTCTGAACCGCGCACCCAAAGCAGCCATTGCAGCTGCATGAGTCACAGTCCTAAACCTCGCCCATTTACCCTCGACATCAGGAGGAGTGGGGGATGATGCCAACCCCAGCCACAAGCGATGATGAAATTCTTGCTTGCAACTTTCATCAGTTGAGACCAGGCATAAGTAACCACGACCACCACTCCTCGCCTCCGGTTGATGGGAAGGCGAGCCCAAAGTAGCCTGGGGCTTACAGCTTCCCACACCTCACCGCCACACTCCCATGCCACCTTCATTCTCATGGCAAAACAACCCCCTACCTCCTCGCGGTAACAGACGGGCAATGCTGTCGTGGACAGTGCTGTGGGGGGGAGGGCAAATTCCGATTGGCCTTTCCCCTCATGGGGTCTGACCACCACAGCGGCTAAATGAGGGCTCTGGACGGGTGCGAGGGGTTGGTAACCTCTCCACCTTCAATAATTACCACTAAACCACGACTGAAATATCTAACTAATAAGCTTGGGCCGGAGGCCCCAGGGGGACAGGCGTCTATGACGTCTCCTGGCCAAACCCCATTTGGCGGAGCCAGGAGATTGAATCTTTACCCTCGAGGCTCCTGAAACAACGAAAAGCCACTATGGATGGCCACGTGGAATGTTCGAACTCTCACTGCAGAGGAGAGGCTGCTACTCCTCTGTCGGGAGCCGGACCGGTACTGCCTGGATCTCTGTGGCATTCAGAAGGTCTGGTGGACCGGCTCTGGCTCCTGCCACCATGAGGGGTGGACAGTCCTCTACTCGGGGCAGGAGACTGCCAAACAACAGGGTGTGGCTCTTCTATGCAACATATCACCAAGTCACCAGCAATGCGTCCAATTTCATCAGAACTTGGAAACCAAGCAAGTTTGAGCCTGGATAGTGTATAGATGGTGACCACCGGACTACAGTGTAGGCCATCCAAAAATATAATTTGTTGTACCCTACTATGCTCCCGAGTCTGTTCCCCCATTGAATCACATGTGCGTCACATCAGTGAAACTTTAATTGGGATGTTTTTGTCCTGCTAAACATTTAAAACACGAATCCCCCAAGGGTCTGCAAATACACTCTTAATATTTGAGTCATTCTAAGATTGCCTTTTAAATATAACCGACAAGTACTGTGCATACTGTACTGCCACATGGTAGCTGCGTGGATCGAGGGCTGTTTTACTATTAACCATAGTCAATATGTGAAAAGACAGTGAGATCATTATGATTATTTAAAGTAATACCGTGTAATCTAAATTGATTTATTGATACTTGCACTTTTTAAAATGATTATGTTAGTCATTATTAAAGGTAAGTTAGTAATACGATACAATATATGTATTCATTAATATATACTCTTTGGTTCTTTCGGTAAAGTCATGTAGGTATATAATAAAATAAATCACGTTTCGGGCGCAACACAAGCGTCCGTCTTCAGGTGGGAAAGCATGGTCTGCTGCTGAGGCAGACTGCTTTAAAAAGGTTTGAAATGGGTGTAGCCCAAGGGTCATAATGAAGTGGCCGGGGCTAGTGATGTTAATGTGAGAAATTAGCATGTTACTGTAAGATAGGAGAGCGGCCTCCTCGACGACGGCACGTAAGTGGCTATGTTAATGTGAGCGATTAGCATGTTAATGTGAAATCGAAAAGTGGTGCAATCCAAAGTCATGAGTGCAACCCAACGGGTGCAATCCAAAGGGAATGTGAGTATGAGAGTACAATGCAAAGGGCATGAGTATGAGAGATCTAAGAGAGAGCCATAGAGAGAGACACAGAGAGTTGGAAATAACAGCTGACATCGGCAGGTAGGATGGAAACATCACAGTCAGTCAATACTTTACCCGGTTAATAACGTACTTCCAATGATTGCTCAATTTGTACCCATCCTCTCGGTTGAAGTTGTGTCTGTGTTTATATATCTGGATGTCTTCATGAACAAATCTCTTCATGTAGCTGGTAGGTTTGCAGAGTACCTCCGTCTTTGAATAAGTGTTAAAACAATGATCGGCAACGGCAGAGGTATTGGTCCAAACGTGTTTCAGATCTGCCTTGTGTTCACGGATGCGGTCCGAGATATATCGTTTCGTTTCCTCAATGTAACTGCTGCCACAACCACAACTCAGTTTGTAGACACCAGGCTATTGCATGTCAGGAATCACATCCTTTACAGATGGGATTAAATCACGGATTTTGTGTACTGTACTGAAACGAACCTGGATATTGTGTTTGTTTAAGATTTTGGAAATCTTTTTGGTAACCCCTGCTATGTACGGTAATGTGATGGTATTGGTTGGATCCTCAGAAGGTTGTCTCCGCATAGGTGAGGAGACAGCTTTGTGGATTGTATGGTCTGAGTATCCGTTCAACCTGAGGGCTTGGTGTACGTGCTCCAACTCACTGGCTAGGTGGTGCTGGTCGGAGATGCAACGGGCCCTATGGTGTAGTGTTTTGATTAGGGAACTCTTCTGGGCTGGATGGTGGTGGGAGTCAGGCATCCGTGTGGGTGGCTTTCCTGTAGACCGAATGTCCCGAGCTATCAGGTCTCTTCTCGATCAAAACATCCAGGAATGGTAGCTTGCCATCCTTTTCCACTTACATGGTGAATTTGATAGATGGGTGTATGGAATTGATGTGGTTGAGAAATTGGTTCAGTGCTGGCAGGCCATGTGGCCAGATGACGAACGTCTAGGAGGCCGCTTTGGATTGCACCACTCTTCGATTTCACATTAGCATGCTAATCTCTCACATTAACATAGCCACTTCCGTGCCCTCGTCGAGGAGGCCGCTCTCCTATCTTATAGTAACATGATAATTTCTCACATTAACATCACTAGCCCTGGCCACTTCTTTATGACCCTTGGGCTACACCCATTTCAAACCTTTTGAAAAGTCTGTCTCAGCAGCAGACCATGCTTTCCCACCTGATGACGGACGCTTGTGTTGCACCCGAAACGTCGTGATTAATTTTATTTTATACCTACGTGACTTTACCGAAAGAACCAAAGAGTATGGAATTCCTGCAGTCACGAAAGCTTCAAATCAAGATCGTTAATATATACTTATAGGTTATATGTTTATGCCCCCTAATCCTATCTTCCTCATGAGCTTTGAGTAGTAATATTCACGCCTTTGTCCAGGAACGTATGTCCGCAAATCTTAAAGGTTCGCTGTATAAGCAAGATGAAATGTTGATTGTCTGACCCTCTTAGATGACCGGATTCACTATGTCAGTGCATCAGGAAAACCAAATGAAACCCAATATACGAAATTCCAACCATATTATAACACACGCTTATAGTTAACTTTACTTTTCAGTCAGCCATTAGTATCCCCATCTTAAAATGGGTACTGGGCAGTCCCCCATCTCTGTTGCTCCTTCTGTGCAACAGTTGAAATGCAGTCACGAAAGCTTTAAATCAAAAGTTGAAATGTTATCTGCTTATTTTAGGAGTTAGATTCTCCATATGATAGCCACTGTTGCACAATTAACAATAAGTACTGCATGCAATGCTCTTGATATTGTCATGTCATAGCTCTGAATATTGTGGTTAGATTGAGTTATGGGAAGTTGCATTTTTATGAATAAAATGTAAACTAAATTTACTAAGTTAATTTATTTCTCTATATTGTCTGAAACTTTGCAGGCATTAAGGAGAGCAGCCCCAGGTAAAGTATTTAATAAAACTCGGTTAATTCCATTCGATATGCAGGAGCCGATTCATGTACAATTTATCACACTTTTGTGCATTTCCAGTGTTAAATTCACAATTGCCAAATTAATGACATAGTACAGGTTTCTCTCGCTTTATGTGGTACTGTAGATATGTTCCAAAAAAGGGGCACACAACGTGAAACCGCATGAGACAGCTGCCTGCAGAGTAGCACACAAAATGTGTTTGTGTGCAAGGAAGCAGACAAGGCGGCCATAACCAGTGTCAACAATTGCCCAAGCTCTGTGGCCCTCTGTTGAGATATTTGCCCAACTCCCATTGCCTAGGGGATGCTCAGGACTAGGCATCACCGATGTGTGCCATGGCCAGAAATCAAACTAATGTAAAACGTGTGCATGAATGAGTTCACTAACTTTTTCTATGCACACTACACAATTGGATTTTGTTCATGAGGAATGAGAATATGTGATCTGTGTATGCACTAGATGTGTAGTACAATATAAAGTATAACAGTATATTACGTTATATTCTTGGTTCTTTCGGTAAAGTAAAAATATAAAAAACAATAAAATTCTCACGTTTCGAATGTCATCATCAGGTAAGAAAACCAACGGGGTTTGTGTTGAAGTCGAAACGTCGTGAGATTTTTATTGTTTTATATATATTATTATTTGTTTCCCTTCAACGTAACTTTACCGAAATAACCAAGAATATGAATCACTGCAGTCACGAAAGCTTTAAATCAAAAGTATATTATGTTGTAAATGTAAAAATGTAGCACGCGATTTACATTTTTGAAAGAAGAAACACAACTCTGTATTTCCAACAGCGAAATCATTCGGAGTGAGAATGTTTGTTATATAGGAGGACATGCCAATCCTGCCTCCCAATACAAAGAATCATCTCCAGACATATTGTGTATCTATGGTGAGTAACATTAACATCTAAAATATTGTTTCTTGAAAGACGGACACTTTACGCATGTCAAACGTGCCAATGTTTTCTTGAATCAATTATGATTTCTAACCTCATCCGAACGTTAAATTACACTTGGCTTTATTTATCTGGTCAAAATAAAATGTGACAGATCTTTTACCAGTTTACAGCAGAGGGTTGATGGAAATTAACTTTCTTATAGCATATGACAATTCAAAGCTTACATCCAAGATGGTGGTGATACTTCTTTTATTAATCCACTTTATATTAGCTCCACACCCAAAACAAAATGTCACCCAATCAAATAATTTCAACTACATCCTTACAAACTCTACTGATTTAAGCAATAGGCTGCTGGTGTGAGAATAGGTTTTCCCCTTTTTTTCTAGCAAGAAAACAGGTGTTAAGATGTTAAAACACCAAACTGAAACCTTTTATAAGGAATCGTGTCTGCATTAACCACAATACTTGTGGTCAGAATGAAAACAAAAAACACTCTGATAATATATGCATTGTCTTTGAAACTGATTGGTCCACGCCAGAGACAGCTTTCTTTTGAGTCTAGGCTTAAAACGCTGTTAGACCAGAAGACGCCAAAAGGTGTACAGTGGTACTGGCAAAGGAGGTCCCATGATGTGACTGCTGGTGCTTCAGCCCTTTTTTCATTGTCTAGTGATGTGTCATGTTCATTCGGCAGCAGCGCGTGTGACGACAGCATGATTGTAAATGAGCATCGACAAAAAAATATATAATGCCAATGTGTTGTTGGACACCTGTAATTCATAAACTTGAAGCTAGGGTTGGTGGATCACATGAAGAGCCACTACAGGCCTTAGATACTCATATTCAGGACTAAAGGAATCATTTTTCAGGTGGCAGTGTTAGCAAGTTGCTTACCTATGTGCTCGATTAGATTTTTTCACATTTGTGTATTCTCTGCAGGCTGTGGTTTCTTCTGTGTGGCATAAATAACCAAATAAAGAGTATTTCAAGCATGACCCTCATAAATAACAAGTCAACTATAAGATTTTACAGAACATAAAACATGTTAATTTTCTTAAGTTACGTTTCTTTTTGTTAACTCTTCTGATACCTCTTTTTGTATTTCAGAAAATATTTAGGTAACATTCGCATCAAGAGAAGGCCGCTCATCCTGCAACCGAGCGGGTGAAGTCACAGGGACAGTTGGCAGTCACACGCGTTCCTGATGAACGAACACAAGTGTGTGGATTACAAATGCTTTGCCTTCACAGGAATTAACTTCCAATTCCAATCATGAAAACACCTGCCAATGATATATAGCCATATATAAAGTTGCAGACCAATATGATTATTGCTTAATTAGAAGTATACAATATTATATGTGTGCTTTTTATTTAAAAGTAATGTAATAGTTAAACACAAAAGTAAAACACGAAACAATACTGAAAATGATCATGATTTCAGTAAATGCGATGGAAGCCATGTCATTTACAGCTCAAGATAACTAACAGTTTTCTTCATTCCAATTAAACTGACAAAAATACAAAACCGTTACTCTAACATGGACCTTTTTTATTTCAGCCTTTAAATTAAATTGTAATCATTTTGATCTTGTGTTTTGCTTGTGTGGTAATCAATAAAAATGGAAAACTTGGGATAACATGATGCACCTTTATTTTGCAAACTACCCCAGATGAGAAATTAAAAAAAACTATCACGTGGAGATTGTGGCATACATTACCGCGGATGGATAAATGACTGCCTCATCAAACTCCTCCCCCCACCCAGCAGCCCTTCCTCTGCTTCTCCATCAACGACCCCCTGGCAGACGACCCACCTCCCCCATGCCAAAATGTCCCTCATCTCCCTATCTTAAGCTCATCTTGTCATCTTCCAACTTCACATCCTCGGTGGCATTCTTGCCGACTTCGTTAACCCTTTATCTCTCTAATGGCATCTTGCCCTTCTTTAAAACAGTCATCAATATTTTCATTCTGAAAAAGTCCACATGGAAGGCGACTGGCATGCGCGTCACAATGTCGATTGCGTCACAATGTCGATTGCGTGTACGTGTGTGAAAATGACTTTGCACGCGTTTGTGCGCATGCGCCCGTGTGTGTGTGTGTGTGGTGAGCGCCAGTGGAATGGTTAGCAACTGCTCTACCAACCCAGCGACCAGAGTTAGATTCCCGCTCATGATCAACGCCAGTGACGATTACCTGAATAGATCATGGGCCTTCCCTAGGTCGACTCAACCTAAAATGAATACCTGGTGCGGTATGGAAACATCGCCACTGGGGAAAGGCAGCCAGGCGTGGTCCTGGCCACCCACCCACCCACCCGCTCATGTGCCGTGACTGCCTTCACAGTCGCTGCTCGCTAACAGCACTTTCCCCAACAGTCTGCTAAGGATAAACGGGGGATCGTTGTGTGTGTGTGTGCAATTGTGGGGACTCATTACGCTCCTTCCGACAAGCAAGCCTGCATCAAGACTCAAGGTAAGCAAAGATAAAACTCCTTAATTGTATGGTTTATCTTCTTGGTTCTTTCGGTAAAGTCACGTAGAATGGAAATAAAATAATAAAAATAAAACATAATAAAATAAAATTCTCACGACGGTTCGGCCATAAAACAAGTAGCCTTCAGGTGAATAAACAGGACTGTCCAGAAGACAGCGCTCGAGTGAACATTGCCAAGCCTGAACCGCGTCTTTTTAAGCTATGTGGGCGGAATTAACATGAATTAGCATGTTACCAGCACCACTGGATCGGGGGAGGGTGGCGGCGGGTACACAGAAAAACGGAAAGAAAAAAGGAATAGGATAGGTGCGCTGCTCTGTCCTGTATTGCGTTAATAACTATGCTATAAACTGGACTACTATACAATGTAATATTATACCTTCCAATCTAAACTACATGGTATAATATCATATCCATAGACAAAAAAATCCACCTTTGAATTATACAATGCGTTACTCTACACTGCCCTACACTTTAGACTATGCTATTCCTTTTTGTTCTTTCCTTTTTTCTGTGTACCCGCCGTCACCCTCCCCCGATCCGGTGGTGCTGGTGCTGGTAACATGCTAATTCATGTTAATTCCGCCCACACAGCTTAAAAAGACGCGGTCGAGGCTTGGCAATGTTCACTCGAGCGCTGTCTTCTGGACAGTCCTGTTTATTCACCTGAAGGCTACTTTTTTGTGGCCGAAACGTCGTGAGAATCTTATTTTATTATGTTTAATTTGTATTATTTTATTTCCATTCTACGTGACTTTACCGAAAGAACCAAGAAGATGAATCCCTGCAGTCACGAAAGCTTTAAATTGAAATGTATGGTTTATTTACAACAGTAATTATTACATGCAAATGTACATTTCTTCTCATTTTAGTTGAAAAATGCTTCTATTTTTTGTTGAACTGCATTTAAAATACAGTACATTGTGTTCTGACTTACGAACCGGAACCCGTTCATAAGTCGCGGACAGCTCGTACTAATAACATTGCGCCATTTGAAAACTTTCTTTCTGCACGATTCCAGAAGCCTTTTTCACCAAGGTGGTGACCTATGGTTTGTACTGTATTACATATCCACAAATTGTTCGGTTTTAAGAGAAATATGGTAGCAGTGAAAGGGGTTAGTTTATGGAATTGTAGCGAGTCCAACCGAGTCGCAGACGTTATCTTAGGAGCAACACTATTTATTTACACAACAGTACATAACATAACAATCTACACTCGGGTCTCGAATGCCCATCTAACCACGCTACGGCAGAACTAGACAAGGTTTGCTATCCCGGTCCGGACCACAAACGGGGTCTGGACCGCGTGGCTAGAGACTTCTTCTCCCCGACGTGGATCTTCGTAACACCAGCACATGAAGAACCTCGAGCTCCTCACGGGGCCCTCGTTATATGCCCCCGGGCTGAGGCTGGCTCCGCCCATCGCCCCGCCCATCTTCCAGGTCTCTCGAGCTCCTTCTCGAAGGTTCCCGAGAGCTCTTTTGGACCACGTGACCGCCCCACGGCCCCCGTTCACCGGTGGCCCTCCTCCAATATCATCTGGTCATGTGACAGCAGGTAAACCAGCGTATCATTCCCCAAGGTAACCCTGGCTGGCTGACGCTTCCTCTCACTCCCTCACCGGGAGTTCGCACCGCACACTGATCGTGGTGCCTCCGCGCTAACCAGCGCTCACCCAAGCCCCGCTAGGGATGGTACTACATCCCGTAACCCGGGCTGCCCGTAATGACAACACCGGATGTGGCTTCACAAGCCTCGGCAACATAGAGTGACAAGCACAGTCACTACAGCATGCCAACGAAGCAGTTTCTCACACAACTGCCTTATCAGCATACGTAAAATTTAACATATCGAAAGTAAGCCACCCACTTTTATTCAGCACATTAAATTTGATGAATTTTGGGGTCCAAATCATTAACTTTCTATTTTTTAGTGCAAATAAAAGTGCGTGCATCGAAACACTAGTTAATGTTTTTTTTCAATTATATTTGTTGCTTTACTTTGTTTTGTTTATTCAGTACTTTTGACAGTGTTGCATATAAATGTGCAATACTTCTTAATTTTTAGTTAATCAATGCTTCCCTATTTGTTGAACGATGACCCATTTCATAACACTGACCGTATGGGCATTTAAATGCAGTGCACTGTGTTCCAACTTACGAACTGTTCGACTTATGAACGTGTTTTAGGAATGAATTAGATTTAGTAACCCGAGGACTGCCATGTTAGGGAATAACTTCGAAAGTTAAAGTTTTTGATGAATTCATATATAAAAAAGAAAACATTTAAGAGGGTCATCCCAATGAAACTATGGGTCTCAGAAAGGAAAACTCTTGACCTGTATGTGCTTATGCACCAAACAGCAGTTCAGAGTATTCGGCCTTCTTGGTGACATTGAGTGCAGTGCTCGATAGAGTGCCATCTACTGGCTCCGTAGTCTTACTGGACGACTTCAATGCTCACGTGGGAAACGGTGGAGATACCTGGAGAGGCGTGATTGCAAGGAATGACCCCCCTGATCTGAACCCGAACGGTGAGATGGTATTGTAATTCTGCGCTCGTGACGGAATGTCAATAACAAACACCATGTTCGAACACAAGGATGCTCATAAGTGTACTTGGTACCAGAGCACCTTGAGCCGAAGGTCAATGATTGACTTTATAGTTGTATCATCGGAGCTAAGGCCGTAGTGCTTTGGACACCCGGGTGAAGAGAGGGGCAGAGCTGTCCATTGATCACCACCTGGTGGCAAGTTAGATCCAACACTTGGGGCACCGACCAGATAGACCTGGAAGACCTAAACGAATAGTGCTTGTTTTCTGGGAATGTCTGGCGGAAGACCCAGTGCAGAAAGATTTCAACTTCAACCTCTGGGAAAACTTCTCCTACACTCCAGGGCAGGTAATGGACATTGAGTCTGAGTGGACGATGTTCAGGACCTCTTATTGTCGATGCAGCTGCAAAAAGCTGTGGCCTGAAGGCAGTTGGTGCCTGTCATAGCAGCAACCCTAGGACCCGCTGGTGGTGAGGGAAGCTGTCAAGTTGAATGAGGCTTTCCGAGCCATGCTTGGAAAAAGGTCTCCTGACTCAATTGAGAGGTACCAGCTTGCCAAGAGGGCGGCAGCTGCAGCAGTCACTGAAGCCAAAGTCCGGGCGTAGGAGTTTGGAGAGGCCATGGAGAGGGATTACCAGGCAGCCTTGAAGATGTTCTGACAAACCATCTGACGCCTTAGGAGGAATCGACAGGACGTGGCCCAGGCTGTTTTCAGTAAGGGTGGCGTAACATATAACTGAAGTCGCTGCAGCGATTGAGGACCTTTGTAGAGGCAAAGCTGCTGGCGTGGATGAGATTCGCCCAAAAAATGTAAAGGCGCTGGACAATATAGCAGTGTCATGGTTAACACGCCTATTCAATATTGCATAGAAGGCGGATTGGAAAACTGGGGTCATGGTCCCCATTTTTAAGAAAGGGGACCAGACGGTGTGCTCCAACTACAGAGGAATCACACTCCTCAACGTCCCAGGTAAAGCCTAAGACAGAGTGCTGGAGAGGAGGCTCCGCCCAGTGGTCGAGCCTCAGATTCAGGAGGAACAATGCAGATTCCGTCAGGGTCATGGAACAATGGACCAGCTCCTTTCCCTCTCACATATATGAGGGGTTATGGAGTATGCTTCCCTAGTCTACCTCTGCTTTGTAGACTTGGAGAAAGCATATGACCGTGTTCCCCGCAATGTCATGTGGGTAGTGCTACTGGAGTGTAGTTGAACAGTTTGCTGCCGAGTGTGAAGCTGCTGGGATGATCAGCACTCCCAAATCTGAGGTGGTGGATTTTGCTCTCCAGGTGAGGGAGAAAAATCTGCCCTTAGTCGAAGAGTTGAAATACCTCGACGTCTCTTTCATGAACGATGGTAAGTGGGAGTGGGAGATCGGCCGGCAGATCAGTGCCGCGTCCGCAGTGTTGCGGGCGCTGTACCGTTCCGTGGTAATGAAGCAGGAGCCAATTTCATGAACAAAGCTCTTGGTTTACAGGTTGATCTACGTTCCCACACCTCACACCTATTGTCGTGAGCTTTGAGTAATAACCGAAAGGATGAGATCGTGGGTAGAATTGGCCAAAATGAGGTTTCTCCGCAGGGTTGTCAGGCTCACTCTCCGTGATCGGGTGAGGGGCTTGGTAATCTGGGAGAGCATCATAGTCGAGCCGCTGCGCCTCCGGATCGAGAGGTGCCAGTTGAGGTGGTTCAGGCACCTGGTAAGGATGCCCCCCTGTAGACTTCCCCCTGTAGACTCCACCCTGTAGACTCCCCCCTGGAACTCTACGGGGCACGTCCCACTGGGCGAAGAACCCGAGGCCGGCCCAGGACACACTGGTGCGACTATGTCGCTCAGTTGGCCTGGGAACACCTGGGAATTCCCCAGGAAGAGCTAGTCTGTCGCCAGGGAAAGGGAGGTCTGGACCACCCTACTCAACATGCTGCCGCCGCGACCCTCACTGAGACCAGTGAAGTGAGAAATTAACGAACATTCATGACCTTCCTATAGGATGAAAAATGCTAAATCACAGTTTGGTTTAAAAAAAATAGTACGGTACATTTAAAGGAAGTTTCGATAAACCCTCAACGTGCCGACCCAACTCAATTTCCATTTAGCAAAAAGAGAACCTACTGAGTGTATCACCTCTTAATAAAACACCACAATATCACTTAAAATGATTTTTTGTATTTCTGTACACATTTCTTGTTTCCTCTTTATTCAAGAACTTCAAGCAGGTACCTTCATGATTAAATTTTGTTGGGTTTTTTCAAATGTTAAATATTGTATGATATTATCCGCTATAAATGGCAGTGAACATTCTTGTAAAATGCAAAGATAACTAATGCTAAAATATGTTGTAATAAAAGTGAACTTACAGTTATTAACGGTGCTATGGGGGGATCTACTTGGGACCTGGGATCTGCCGTGCAACAAATACAGTTTGTGCCATTGAGGTTTATTGCGGATTTGTAGATTTTTTTGCCAAGTGACTACTTTATTTTATGGGATAAACGTGGGTTATGGAAGCATTGCACGTGCTTGCAGAAAAAAAATATTTATGAGTTTGAACATGTCCTGCAACAATAAAAAAGGAACCCATCTAACATATGGGTCTATGTTAAACGAGGTTTGTCTCTCAGACTTGGTATCCAAGTTATGTTTAAATGTAAAAACCCTTAACTGCTTAACGCATCATGTTAGCAGTTTGGGCAATATAAAATATATATGAATGTCTGTACTGCACTCCAGTTTGTCTCTGCAGCTCAGTTTGTATCTTATCTCCATTTGTCTCTCTGCAGTTCTGTTAGTCTCTATCTTTTTGCAGCTGTCTCTCTAATTATTCACTCCATCTCTCTGGTCTATATTTGCTATGAATGGCCAGGGGCGGAGCCAGGGGGGTGACAGGGTAGACAATTGTCACCCACGAAAAAATAAAAAATCGAAAATCTGAAACATTCTGCATATAAGTGTACGACACTCGGTCTGGCGGACTCCGTGCAACTGCATTGTCAGTGTGTCGCCAACCGATGGCGGGCTGAAAATCCTGGCTCCGCCCCTGTGAATGGCCATTGCCCTAAACATCACGCCTGTATATTTGCAGTTTGCATGTTCTCCCCGTGGTTGCGTGGATTTTTCTTCGGGTCCTAGGGTTTTTCCCTCCATTTAGAAACATTTGCTTCGAGCATTTGTCTGATATAAATTCCAACATGATAAGCTACTTCATTGGGCTACCATTTGTGGCGAGGTCGCTTCTGAAAAAGAGCTATATAGCTCTAGTAGGCTTTACCTGGTAAAATGAAATAGTTAAATAATTACAAAATTTTCACCATAAAAAAGCAAAAACCTCGTTTTTCAATGCACACACTTTTTATGTGCAATCAAAAGAAGAAAATATGTAATTTAAACCACAGAATTAATCACATTTGATGTGTTGAATAAAAGTTGGTGGCTTGCTTTTTATGTTTAATTGTCTTTATTTCAAGCCACTCACTTTTATTCAGTATATCAAATGTAATTAATTCTGGGGTAAAAATGTATTTTTACTTTTGAGTGCAAATAAAAGTGTGTGCATTAAAAAACTAGTTTTTTTGCCTATTTTTTTAAAATATTGTATTTACTATACAGTTATTTTTTTACATTGTGACATGCAATTGTACAATGTTTCTTCTTAATGAGTTTAACAATGCTTCCTTTATCTTGAACCATAACATATTTTGTAACATTGACCATATGGGCACTTAAATACAGTGCATCATTGTGTTCCGACTTACGAACTGTTCTGACTTACAAACGCATCTCAGGGACAAATTAGATTCAGTAACCCGAGGACTGCCCATATAATTGATGTTAGACAATAACTTCCAAAGTTTAGGTTTTTGATTAATTTGATGTACAAAAGAAAACATTTAATTACATTCGTGATTTTCCTATCGGACGTAAACAGGCAAAACCACAGTTTGGTAAAAAAAAAATGAAGCACATTAAAAGGAAGTTGCGATAAACCCTCAAAGTGCCGACGACCCAACTCATTTTCCATTTTGAAAAAAGAGAACCTACTGAGTGTATCAGCTGATGATACAACACCAAAAAAAACACTTAAAATGTGTTTTCATTTCTGTATACATTTATTTTGTTTGCTCTTTATTAAAGGACTTCAAGCAGGTACAGTAAGTACTAAAAGTACCTTCATGATCAAATGTTTTGGGTTATTGTTTTGCAATGTCAAATATTGTATGCTATTCTACACTATAAATGGCAGTGAACATTTTTGTAAAAGCTAAAATATGTTAATAAAATAGTAAATTTACAGTCAATAACAGTGTTATGGGGGGAACTACTTGGAGCCTGGGATCTGCCGTGCGCCATGCAAGATAATCTTACAATCTGCAACAAATATGAGCCATCGTGGTTAATCGCGGATTTTTATGGGTTTGTTTTGCCAAGCGTCTACATTATTTCATGGAACATGGGTGATGGAAGCATTGCACGAGATTACATAAAAAAGTGGATTATGAGTTTGAACATGTTGTCCTGCAACCAAAAAAGGAATATATCGAACATATGGGTCTGTGTTAAACGAGGTTTGTCTTTCAGACTTAGTATCCAAGTTTTTTTTTCATGTAAACACCCTTAGTGATCACTCCATTTTTGGTGTGAAATCATCAGCCAGACCCAAAGGTTGAGAAGCACTCTATGAGACACTTCAGCACTCAGGCATTTACTAATGATGTGCTTCACTTGGATATTGACAAGGTCTGTGATATCCCCAACCTGACTACGGCTTGGGAGACTTTCAGGTACACGTTTCTCCAAATTCTTAACAAACATGCTCCGTTGGTTAGATTTAAAACTAAAGGCAACCGCCCACCATGGTTTGATCCTTTAATTACAAAGCTCATGAAAACTAGGGACAAGGCTTGGGCATGTGCTCAGAAAAGTAATTTGGTCAATGACTGGCTAGAATACAGGATTTTAAGGAATCGATGCGTCAAAAAAATACGGCATGCAAAAAATGCCTACTTTTCCTCCACTCTCCTGGAATCACATGGAAATGCCAGGATTTTCTGGAAAACAATCAAATGTATTGAAAAGGCATCCAAAACAGACAATCTGCCCATTGAGCTTAACCGAAATGGGGAATATTTTTCGGATCCCCAAAAAATAGTTGACAATTTTAACCTTCATTTTTCTGAAGCTGGTAATCTTTTTGATAATGTATTGGGAGTCACCCCTGCTCATGCAAATTCCTACATCCCTGTCCAAACATTAAACGAATTTAGTTTGCAGCCAATCCACGAAAGTAATGTTCTGAAACAACTGTCATACCTCAAAGGGTCCTCCTCTACCAGAGCAGATAGTATTCCTGTCTTTGCTCTACTAACTGTTGGTCACCTAATATACAAACCTATAGTCCATATTTTCAACCTGTCCATCAAAGAAGCATCAGTTCCTCTAGAATGGAAACATTTCTATGTCCGTCCACTTCACAAAGGGGGCCCTAAAGATGATCCAAATAACTACCAACCTATCTCAATTTTGTCCCCGTAGATGAAAATTTTTGAAAAATTATTGACCTACCAAATTAGCAGTTTCCTGTCCACCAACAATCTACTACATCATAAACAATCTGGGTTCCGAAAAAATACAGCACCACATCTGCTGCATTAGACTCTCTGAATCACATTTACAGTAGCCTTGATAATAAGCAGTACTGTGCCTGTCTTTTTCTAGACCTGTCCAAAGCTTTTGATACAGTAGACCACAACACCCTGCTTAGTAAACTAAGTTGCCTCGGTTTTTCCGAAAACGCAGTAAAATGGTTACAAACTTACCTCTTTTCTCGCACCCAAACTGCATTCACAGATGGTTGGAGGCCAAACAGTGTTAAGATAACAAAAAGGGTTCCACAGGGTTCCATCCTCGGCCCCCTTTTGTTCTCTCTTTATGTAAATGACTTGGGCACTGACCTGGATCATTCCAGGGAAAATATTTTTTGCAGATGACACGATACTGATTACTACTGGACGCTCTCTGGATGACGTGAGCTACAGGGTGATTTCAAAAAACTACAACATCAGCTAGTTGCTCTTAAACTAGTCCTGAATACCTTCAAAACCAAGGTGCTATGCTTCTCACCAGGACTAAAGCAGGAAGTTATTTTTCTCCAATAACATTCCTTAAATAATTGTCAAATAGAGCAAGTCAAGATCTATAAGTATCTTGGGGTCATCCTCGATTGATAACTGAATTTTGAAGATCACATTGATCATATTGGTAAAAAGACAAAAATAAAAATAGGTTTTCTCTATCGACACAAGCACTGCTTCCCCCCAATGTTCCGTTTGGAATTGATAAAAGCTACCATACTGCCTCTACTTGACTACTGTGACATCATGCATAAATCAGCCCCAAGTACTGTACTGAAGAAGCTTGATTCCATCTATCACTCGGCCTTAAGATTTACATTGAACTGCCCATATAGGACTCACCACTGTGATCTCTACATTGGGTCAAACTTAACATCTCTTAATGTTCGACGGCTTGTGCACCAGATCTTATTTATTCACGATGTACTTACAAAAAAATCCGCAGACTACCTGCTGGATCTCCTCTCTGTTTCAAAGAACAAATTTGACCTCAGGTCTTCGCTCATTTACCAGCTTCACATTCCCTATTGCCGTACAAAAACTGGAGGAAGGGCCTTTGCTTATTGATGCCCCCAGAGTCTGGAATGCTATTGCCAATAAACTGCAACGTGAATCGCTACCAATGAGATCTTCTCTCAAAACTGCTCTAGAGGAGTTGTACACCCCAAGCTGTCACTGCTATTCATTGGTGTAAAATAAAATAAAATGTTTCGCTCCGGATGACGCTGCAAAGTATTATCTGTATTTTGATTTAGCGTGCTGATATTAAAGGTGCATTGAAAAATTTGATACTCCAACCGATGCTTCTGTTGTTGTGGAGTAACTCATGCAGCCAGCTATGGCTCTAGGGTTTGGTGTTACATGTTATTTATGTAGTTTATGTAAAAAATTCGGTCACAGTCCTTGTGATCACTGTTACGTTGCAATTATGGCTTTATTTTTTATGATTTGGAAAAGTTTTTTTGGTTTGGACATGTTTGTTTTGTTGTAGTACGGAGTTAGACTGATGGCCTTAATCTAGATTTTTGTGGTTGTTGTTGTTGTTTGACTTGCATCCCACTGGGATTTTTTGCACACAGCGTTGGTGTACGGTGCTTTTTTCAGGAATATATATTTTTTTCCATGGATTTTCAGTTTGCACAGTCACATAGTCACTTTAAGATGTTTTTCTTGTTCGTGTTTTTGTTGTTTTGTTTGTTGTGGTTGCACCCGATTCAAGAGCCGAATGGCTCACAGGGCTATACCAAAATAAACTAAACTGAACTGCTTAACAGGTTAATTTAGTAGTTAGTTTGGGCAATATTAAATATATATGAAGGTCTGTAGTGCATTTCAGTTTGTCTCTGCAGCTCAGTTTGTCTCTTATCTCCACTTGTCTCCCTGCAGTTCCGTTAATCTATCCCTTTTAAGCTGTCTATCTCTCTAAAGCTCACCACTTTTTATATTATTGTTGCACAATGAAAAAAAATCCTCCCAAATTTATAAACTTTTTTTTGCAGCCAACCAGGAAACTTCCATCTTTGTGGAAGATGCAGAAAGGGCCTGTCTGCCGTGTGGCCACGATGTCGGCACAGAGCCAGGCTGGGTGGTCTGGTTCAAGATCGCACAAGTAAACGGCAGCCGGCCGGTTCCTGTGATCGCGTGCTCTGGGGAAACAGCCCTTTTCCCCTCTTGTGAGGGTGACGAGGAGACATCAGCCGAAGATTTGAAGTTCATCTGCTCCAGAAACCATGACCTAAACATAAGAAATACGCACGTATCTGACTCGGGAATTTACATTTGTGCTGCTGCATCCTACCTTGATCGATGTTTGTGTAACAGTAGGACGATGTGCGAGTGGGATATGTTGAAAGAGACTCAGAATAAATTCAACAATCACCAATACCAGAAGAGTGTTAGATTAACGGTGACAGGTAAGTAACTCAATGTAAACGCCAATTTAAAATACAGTAACACCTCTGTAAACTGGACAAACGTAAATGGGAATTTGGAATAAGCCAGTGGACTATTGAACATGACGAAGATTTAACAACTTCCAACAAGAACAGTGTCCGAACGTTCATTAAGCTGTACGAGACAGAGCATATGTTCACTCGTATTTTTTTTATATATAAAGAAAATAGATTTTCAATGCACACACTTTTATTTGCACTAAAACATATTCTTTTGACGCAGAATTAATCAAATTTGATGTGCTGATTAAAAATGGGTGGATTCCTTATTCAGCACATTGAAGTTAATTATTTCTGGGGTCAAAATAATGTATTTTCTACTTTTGAGTGCAAATAAAAGTGTGTCGCTAATTTAACAAAGACTGAAACGTAAATTATGGTTATTTGCGTACAGTAAGCTTATGTAATGTTGAAGTGCAGCAAAGAAATGGAAGTAGCATTCGACCCTGTGTTTATGCAAATGTAAAATGTGATTTACAGGGGGAGAACATCCAAACGGTAAATATGTAGGCGTCAGGGTTAGGCTATTCCAAGTCAGGGTGATTTCTTCAATGCCTATGAAGAAATCACCCTGACTTGGAATGTTACCAATCTGTTTGAACCTCGAATGTAAAGCAAATCTGAGCCGGGAGAGTGGCTGGAAAGGTGCCCACCATGCACAAGCAGGTTGTCATGGGGCGGCGAGCAGCACGTTGTATTCATATGCAGTTGTACTATATGTCTATGCTTGCCGCCTTTCGCAATCTGCACCAACCAGCTGGAGTTGAATTGTGGTCAAAAGGCCTCCACTGCCAGTGTAGAGACCGTCACTCGGCAGTGGAAAGACAAAAGTTCTCTATGGTCCTACGGGCATTGTGCAGCACTCATCTAGACCAGTCGAAATTGGGTATTGCCACGGCAGGGGATACGTTTAACAACTGCTGACTGCGCACGCAGTGGAACCGATGTTATGCGCATGTGGAGATGGCAATGATGGCTTGTCTATGTGAACCATTGAACCGACAGTAATTGAAAGCATGTGCAATGCTATAACACAGTGGAGTAACGATGCGATATGTATAGCGCGTTTAATTGCAGTGTTTATATCGCGACAGCGTGTTCAACGTGCACAGAGTGAGCATGTTAATTTAACGTGTTTATAGCAACAACGATCATTAAAACATTTCGTCAATTACAATGGTGATAACGTGACGATATTTGAGTCGAAATCGTGATCACGGTTCTCATCTGCTCACGCAAACGTCAGCATAACCTTACTGCCTTCAGCGCGTCAGAACGGGCGTTACGAAGCAAATCATAACGCTCTTTAAAGCGATTATAAGTATGTAATTATGTCAAGAATAGCAAAAGTAGTCATATAATAATTATTTAAATTGTACTTATTGGTCTTGCGCCAAGGAAGAGGGAAGTACAGCGGCTGCTCCGGCGTCATGACAAGCGACGATAGAAGCGCTCCTTTCATTGGTAAAAGGATGGCCAGCAACAGCCGCTCTCATTGGACAAGACAGGGGGAGGGGTGGGTAAAATGTATGAGTATTAATGATTAAAATTAAGTCAAACACACGAATAGGGCCATGATTGACGGGACCCAGAGCGTTTTTTTTTTACGAAATCTTGAATCGTCAAGTGAGACAAGTCCGTGTGGAAAATTTCAGCTCATTAGGCTTCGTAGATACGAAGATATTAAGTGAAAAAGATTTTAAAGAATATAAAGACAAATTTTGATTTAAAGCTTTCGTGACTGCAGTAATTCATATTCTTAGCTCTTTCGGTAAAGTTACGTTGAAGGGAAACAATAAAATAATATATAATATAATATAAAGACAACTTCTTTGGTTCTTTCGGTAAAGTCACGTAGAATGAGAATAAAATAATAAATTGATAAAATAAAATAACACAATAATATTCTCACGACGTTTCGGCCACAACACAAGCGGCCTTCATCAGGTGAAGGGAGCGAGACTGTCTGGTAGGACAGCGCTGGAGTGAGAGAGCCACGTTCAGATCACGGCTTTTAAGCTGTGTGAGAGGAACAAAGAGCCTTGACGAAGGAATTAGCAGAAAATTTAGCATTGAAATGGCTGAATGATTAGCTTGTGACTGGTCACAGCTAATCATTCAGCCATTTCAATTGTGGCCGAAACGTCGTGAGAATATTATTGTGTTATTTTATTTTATCAATTTATTATTTTATTCTCATTCTACGTGACTTTACCGAAAGAACCAAAGAAGATGAATCATTGCAGTCACGAAAGCTTTAAATCGAAATATAAAGACAAGTTCAATAAAAGGGTGTAATAAGCAGGGAATTAATGTATGCTTCCTTCTCAAATGTATCTCGCCACATAAAACGTACATAACATTTTTTTGCACATTCCATTAATAGCACGGCCTTCCGGGAGCATACTTTTTATGTGTGTGTGGGAGGCTATTGTAGCAAGTATGACGTTCCAATTCCAGTCTTAGAGACTGGTCCTCATCAAAAGCACCAACACTTCACTTTTGGTCGTTGCTTTTCCTGGAACACCGCGCTCCAGATGCTGCAACATCTCTGGTCCAATATTCATTATCAACGAAAGCTCAGTTAGCCCGTTTATATTTTGCAGCCAATCACACAGCCAGCCCCCCCCCCTCCCCCCATGGCTGATTGTGCCCACCTGTGGAGGGCTCATCCCCTCCACCTGTTGCGCTAGGATTGTCTCATTCCGCATGCGCTATCAATCATATCCAATTGGTACTGATGACCATATGAGGTGCCATGTTTCCAATACTGCTGCCCCCATTGCCGGGTGTAGATATTGTATCGATTAGCTGTGGGACTGTGAAGTTCACCCCATGAGAGGCAGTCCACCAGCATTGGTTTAAGGAAGACTAACTGCTGGCTTATACTCACTGTACAATTATTTAGCATCATGAAAGTGAAGCTTTTTTTAATGCTACGGTATTTTAAAAAATATTATATCTGTTTAGCTCTAAAGCTATTTAGTGTTATAACCCAGCTCTTCATGAATCACACTATGCATGGAAAAGGGAGCAGTTTCCACAGAATTAATAGACAACTAACGTATTAGATAATTTAAAGAGAAACCAGTGTGGTAACTCAAGTGTCACTGTATTCAGAATTCTATGGAAGGGTGTTTTGAATGTTTATCCCATAATATGTAGAATAGAATGAGTAGATCGAATTCACAAAAATGTGTACAGTATTAATGAAATAAATAATTGATATATCTTGTTTATAAGCACTATACTTAGCATGTATTAATATATTTCAGCGTTGGTGGAGACAACGTACATCATAACGGTGCACACAGGAGATGTGACTTATGCTGGAACAGGCGCCCGTGTGTTCATTGGCCTAAGTGGAAAAAAAATATGGCAATCAGAACTCTCTCATTCATCATGTAGCTGTTTCGAACGAGATAAGGTAAGTTTGTAATCCATGGTGGCGAGATGTTAACTTCATTGCCTGATATACATGAGGTCGTGAGATCAATCCCGACCCTGATGCCTGTTGTATATTTGGAGTTTGCCTGTCTCTATTCCCGTGATCACGTGGATTATTCTCTGGGTCCTCTGGTTCTTTCCTTCGCGTTTGAAGTATTTGGCCGCTGTATATCGCCATATGATAAGCCACTGTGTTGAGCTATTATTTGTGGCCAGATCGCTTCTGAAAAAAGAGCTATATAGTTTAGTGGGCCTTACCAGGTTAAAAAAATATATAGTTTCAATAGTTTTTAGCTTCAATTTCAAACACAGCAATGGTGGTGCATGCCTGTAATTAAGTACTGTAGATGCGAGGCTTGGTGGATAGTATAAATGTTGTGAAACTTTTTTGCCATAGGCATTGAGGTGCCATACACTGAGCTCGCTAGGAGAAGGCAGTAAAGTAAGTAGACTAATCGCCAGCTGTTTCCATCTGTACGGGCATAGCATGTCACCTCCTTGTGCACGTGGGTTTCCTCCAGGTGCTCCCGTTTGCTCCCACAAGTATGGACCCTCATTAATTGGCTGAAAACATAAAAGCCCACTCAGGACCCTCCTGAAAAAGAGTCTCATGACTCCGGTGTGGCTTTCCTGGATAAATAAGTACGTACATCTTTTTCGACCAATAGATGGATATTTTCTGTGCATTCTGCATTTCGGTTACACGTTGTAAGCCAATGCAAGATGTGAATGTGTTACAGATTGATGTCTTCAGAGCCAAAACTAAAAATCTTGGATGCATAACAGACTTATATGTATGGCATGACAATGGTGGAATTGGTTCTGGTTGGTACCTTGACACGATTGATGTTTACGATGGACACACTAATTACAAGTTTGAATTGAATGCATGGATCTATGGTCCAGAAAAAACGAGACTCCGCTTAAAGGTAAGGCGTTATACAGTCAACTATTGTTATTGTGGGAATCAAAGAGGGTTGGGCTTCCCCTGCACGCTTTGTCTTATCCATTAAATCACCAATAGGATGGTTCTCCAAATGCAGAGCATAAAGAAACAGATGACACTCCACATGTACATTAATAGCAATCGTGCATAAGACGGTTGCGCATGAGGCTACGACTGCCTGTGGAATAGTTCGCGTATGGTACTTAACATAAGTGTGGGAGAGTAGGCCACATACCCTCGAGGGGCTTTCTAGAGCTCCCTCGAGTGGAGGCCTTTGCGCCAGCAGTGGTGTGAACAGGTAATGCCAGGGCTGCACCTTTACCTTGTTTCCTTTATAAAAAAAAAAACTTTACAGCGTGGAAATATAATGTTCTGCTTGTCTGCATAGAACTGGATATTTAGTACAAGAAAGACATCCACAGGTACAGTACATATGAAAAACAAACATTAATCAATTAGCGTGATGATGTGAAATGAATTCCTTCTTGCCAGATTCGAAGTACGTAGAGAGTTGGGAGAGGACTGGAAAACAGAGTAGGAAGTAAACGTGCATGTGTGACTAAAAAAGGCTCTGTTACGTTCCCACGTATATATTAGGGACCCTGTCCTCTATGACGAAGTACTGGGCACCTATTGTATTTAGATAATTTTAGCATAATTCTGTCACTTTATTAAAAAAAATGTATCGGTATTTTTTTTACTTGGGGAGAAATGTCTATATGCTCCGTACTTTACAATTTAGAAGGGACAAATCCCAGCAGCAGAATGGCTAATCGCGTCGATATCTTTTGCAGGCTATCGATGCACCATCATGTGGTTGTACCGTCTCTTCCTCTGAACCATACTCAAACATGGACAACTGTGTCAATGGTAAACTGGTAACAATGTATGACCACTATTATATTAAACTACGGTATTTAGGCTGGTGTATTACTGGACAATGACTTAAAAGAGACAATTTATAACAGTCACATTTTATGCCAATATTTACTATCATAGAAAAGAATCACCATCTTCTTAAGCAAAATCCAAGATTGCCCGTACATTTAATGAATAATACACTGCATCTCATTGTTCATTCAATCAATGATCAAGGAACCAACCTACAAAGGGAAGAATTGTGAAGGGGTGTACGAGGTGGATCCGAGTAAGAGGGATCAGACGCGGGAGTCTTGGGTCATTGAAGATGTCAGATATGCATTCCCGGGGCTCACGGCCAAGCAGCTATACACAGTGCAATTACAAGACCCAAAATGACCGAGTCTCACCGTGCCCTCTGCGAGTGGAGGGCACGGTAGGTGGGCCTTTGGCGACCTTTTTCCCATGGCTCTGCCTGTGGCATGGGGTGGTGGTGGTAGAGGTCACTCACCATAGAGGAGCGAGAGCAGGTCTGCATTCTGGCTCATGTGATCCCCGACCCACAAAAGCGACATGAGAACCTGGCAGCTATTGTTGAATGCATTCAACAATTGTTGAATGCATTCAACAATAGCGTCTGAATGCATTCAACAATAGTTGCCATTTTCCACAAAGTGGCACAGTGATGTCATCATGGCCCTGTACTTTGAGGGCACGTGAAATGTTGAATATCTCACAGGCAGGCTGTCAAGGGACAGACCCATTTATTAGTTCATTAACCAAGATCACTGGTAGATGCACAGCTATGTGCCTCACTGTGCCACCTCACTGTATTTAACCACCCAGCAATCTGTTCATTGTTGTGAGCGTCGTTCTTCCCTCCATTCTTGAGCAATTGCCTCCAATTTATTGCCGAATCGCATCCTTCACGAGCTTCCATCGCAGAGGCTGATCTAGACACCTTTAGTTACTCATAAATTTACATAGTTAAATTCGTTTCCTATACCTCAGGCCATCTCTTCTCAAACCCATGCCATCCCCATGTTGCCGTCTCTTTTCATAAAGGGTTTTGGGTTAGATCTCGTTATTTATAAATGTGTCGTAACCCTCCACCAGCCGACACGGCCAATCAGCAAAAAAGTGTCACGTTGACAAAAGACAAATAGTTCACTACTTTAGCCCACAACATTTACAGTTTGAGTATGACGTTTCGCTGGTAATTACGATTTTTTTAAAATTGTATTCAGTTCCACAGCAAAGAAAGCGAAAACGGAACAAATATCGAGGGGCCGCCCCCTCCTGCACGCCGCGAAGGCCCCACCCGGCCACTGACTCGTCCGCGAGACCGGAATCACCCCCGACACAGCACTGAGTCACATCTGTGCATGAAGGGGCTACCTCCCCTCCAGCCACACACGACCTCGCCCCCGGGCGCCAGTAACGCCCTCCGCCCCCCATCCCAAGCCGCCCTAACCCACCCTGGGCAGTGGCCACTTTCACTTTTCCCGTGCGGCTTCATGTCCCAGCCTCACCCAATCCACCACCACCCTCTCCAACAACCTCCTCGCCATGTAACACGTTTCCAAAGGGGACATCTGGGACCCCTCCAGTTCCTTCTTGCGCGCCTTCCATAAGGCCTCCTTTGTTGCACCTATTATGGCCCACGCCCAGTCCCTGTCCTCCCCTCCCACTCCCCACAATTCCCCCCACATAATGTCCCATGTTGTCACCTTCGACGGGGCGAACCGGGCCAACAACGGTTCGCTCTGCCTCCACACCTCCTGGGCAAAGGGGCATGCCACCATGACATGTACTGTGCTCTCGTCCCCGTTGCAGCCCCTCTGGCATTTGGGGGTGCGTGCCATTTGGCGGGCGTGCATGAAGCCCCTCGTTTCCAGTTTGTCCCGGACCGCCAGCCAGGACAGGTCCCTCTGTTCTTTTGTGAGTGCCGCCGACGACATATTCCTCCAAATTTGCCGGTGTACCGCTTTCCTCGCCCCTGGCACCTCCTCACAGGCCTCCCCTTTCTCCGCCTCAGCCCGCACCTCTCTGGGGCTCCACCGTCCCCCACCGGTTCAGGCCGTGCTGCCCTACGTAGCCCCCCACCACGTCACTCAGCCAGCCTCCCGGCCAATCCAAGGGTGTGCTCCTCTCAGCCTGGGTCATCCCGAGGCCCCTCAGGCGCCACGTCAGGCGATACCTCATATAGCACGCTGCCTTGCCTCGCGGCTCTGCGGAGAAGAACAGTCTCATTGCATTACACACAAAGATCGAGGTCAGGGTGTACTCCACATTTGGGGCGCCCCTCCCCCCGTTCCCAACCTGCATGCAAAGTATGGCCCTCCTCACCCTCTCCATCCCTCCCCCCCAGATAAATCCGAATAGCGTCAACGTCAAGGCCTTGACCTCCCTCCTACCAGGTGGGAATTCTTGCGCCAGGTAGTTTAGCGTTGGCAGTATCTCCACCTTTACCACCATGATCCTCCCAGCCATCGTGAACCGCCTCCCTGCCCACTTACCCAAACGTCCCTTCGCCTTCCTTATCCTTTTCTCCTAATTACGTTCTGCTGATATATCCCGACAGAAGGTCACCCCTAGCACCGTGATCTCTTCTGTCTGCAGTCTCAACTCCGGCGGCCGACCCTCGAACAACCTCGAGTCCCCAAAGGCTATCAGTTCGCTCTTCCTCGTGTTGATCTTTAAGCCAGAGGCCGCACAGAACCGCCCTGTCTCCTCCATAGTTCTCCACACCGACGCAAGGTCCCTGCACAGCACGGCCACGTCGTCCATGTACAAAGTCCCTTTCCCTTGTTCCTTGTTGCCCGGGATTGTCACCCCCCTAATCCTTTGGTTATCCCTTATTGTCTGCGCAAGAGGTTCCATGCTCATGATGAACAAGACCGGGGACATCGGGCACCTCTGCCGCACCCTGGACTCCACTCGAATCACCCCCGAGCGTTCCCCGTTTATCAAAATCCTAGCCCTGAGCCCACCGTAGAGCCGTGCCACCCACTCCACCAGGGGCCCACTCATTCCCATTCTCTCCATCACCGCCAGCATATACTCATTCGAAAGACGGTCAAAGGCCTTGTCCAGGTCCAAACTCAGAATCCCCAGCGGGCACCCCCTCTCTCTCTCCCCTTCTATGGCCTCCCTCAGCACCACCAGGGAGTCCGCGATCCTCCTCCCCGGGACCACGCACGTCTGATCCGGCTCTACCACCTCCCCCACCACCTTCCCTAATCGCGCCGCAACTATCCTTGCTAAAATATTGTAGTCCGTGTTTAGGAGTGTTATTGGGTGCCAGCTTCCCAAGTCCTTGCGATCCCACTTCCCTTTAAAAATCAGTGTAACTAAACCCTCCCACATATCGTCCGGCACCCGGCCCTCCTCTAAAGTTTCCCTACATATTTGCAGCATGTCCTCCTTCAGGAGCTCCCAGAACTTGATGTAGAATTCCGCTGGGATACCATCCGGGCCCGGGGTTCTATTCCTATTCAGCCCCTTTACCGCCCCTTCCACTTCTCCCTGCCGGATCTTCTCCCCCAGCGGCTCCAGGTTCCCAATCCTCCTCCCCAGTGCCCCCAGCAGCTCCTTCCGCTTCCCCCCATCTGTCTCTTTCCTCCTGTACAGCTCCCTATAAAAGTCCTCCGCTACGCTCATCATCCCTGCCGTCATCGTCTGGCTGCCCCTGGCAGGGCTTACCAATTCCCTAATTGCGTTATCCCCCTCCCTACCCGCCTTGAAGAAAAACCTCGTGCACTTCTCCCCTTCCTCCGTTGCCCTAACCCTCACCCTGTACACTAGCTGCCTAGCTCTCCTTTCCAACACTGAGGCTACCCTCCCTTTCAATTCCTCTATCCTTTCCCCCATTGGGAAACCTAGCTCAAGCAACCTGTACATCATCTCCAGCCTGGAATTCCACTGCCTCAACTCCCTGTTCACTCCCCTCCTTCTACTATGGTACTGGAAAAACGCTTTCACCCTGCCCTTCACCTGGCCCCACCATTCCACCCTCGTGGGGAAACAGTCCTGCAAGGTCCTCCAGTCTTTGTATTTTTGCACAAAGTCCCCCACCACTTTCTTGTCCTCCAATAGACCCACGTTCATTTTCCACATCCGTTTTCCTCTCCTCGCCCCACCTGGGATCGCGAGCCCTGCCACGACCATTTTGTGGTTCGAGAGGGGGAAAGGCTCCACCCCCGCACTCTCCACTTCTACTTTGGCAGAGGTGAAGATAAAGTCTATCCGCAACTGCGCTCCCCCGCTTTTGTCCGACCATGTGTACCCGGGCCTTACACCATGCACCCTCCTGAAAGCATCTGTCATGCCGAGGTCCGCCATCAGCTCTCTCAGTTTTCTGGAGGAAGAATCCAGTTTCCTCCTCCCCTTTGCCGACACCAGGTCCATTAAGTATAGCGGGCAATTGAAGTCTCCCCCTACGATGACTTGTCGCCTAGTAGCCAGTAGGGTCACTAAGTTCTCCCACAACTCTACCCTTTCCATGCATCGCACAGGGGCGTACACATTCACCAGCCGCAACTCCACGCCTTGGTAGGACACGTCCACACAAAGGAGTCGGCCCGGGATGATCTCTTGGGTTCCCTCCACCCTCATTTCCCTCCTGCCTAGGAGGGTAACTACCCCAGTGCACCGATTCCGATTGCTGCCCGACCATATGTAGTGGCCGTCCCAGTCTTCAAGCAGCTCTTCCGAGTCCAGGGTATACGGTAGGTGGCACTCTTGAAGGAAGGTCACGTCCTTTCTGGTGGCTTTTAACAGTTGCATAATTGCTCCCCTCCTTCCCTTCCCCTTCATTCCTCTCACGTTTATGGACGCTGCCGAGAGGTCCATGCCGGTGTGTACTTTATTCCGTCTCCGACTCTGTTGCACGCTCCCCGCAACCGTCCTTGTCCGCCTTCTCTCGCACTTTCTTCCTCCCCCTCAACCTCCGGGGCTTCCCCCGGTTCAAACGCCCCCCTCCTTCTGTCCTCCTCCACCCAGACACCTCTGTGTCTGGTGAGGAGCCTGAAGGATCCGTGTCATGCTGGGGGCCAGTCCCCTTTAGGGTTCTGTCCAATTTCCTCTTCCTCTCCGTTGTTTCCTCCCACACCCCTTTAGCTCCTTCCTCCACCCGTTGCTCCCTCTCGCCCTCCTCCTCACCCATTGCCTCCGCCCAGTCCATCACGGGGATTCCTGTGGTATCTCCCTCGTCTTCCCTCCCCTCCTCCCCCTGCTCCCCCTCCTCCAGGTCCGGTGATGTCGTGGCTTCCCCCTCCGCAGGTCTCCCTCCCCGGGGGGGGGGGGGGTGGTTCTGCCCTCTCTCCTTCCTCCTCCCCCACAAGCTCCCGGTCCGATCCCCGCCCGGTCGCCTCCTCCACCACCTCCCCCTCCCGCCCACCCCGGTATGCCCACACTTTGTTGGCATATGATTCCGGGCAGTCCCTATACAGGTGCCCTCTGCTACTGCAGAGGTTGCATTGGACCGGCTCCCTTCACTCCTCCACCGTGTGATCCGGCGCCTTGCACCTGTAGCAAATTCTTGCCTCACATGCTGCCGCCAGATGCCCCCTTCCCCCACACCTCCTACACAGTTTAGGCTGGCCCGCGTATACCACGTACCCCTTGTTCCCCCCAATGTTTAAGGCGCTCGGGATATGATTCAGCACCCCCCCCCCCCCCCTCCGTCTTCAGGCGCACCCTCCATTGCCTGGCCCCGGTCCATATCCCCACAGAGTCTTGCACCCTCTTGCAGTTAGATAGTAGCATGCAATGCTGCCTCAACCACACCTCCACATCCTGGTCATGCAGTGCCTCGTTATACAAGAATACAGTCACAACCTTTGTTTCGAGATCCGACAGCAGCTGCGTCCTCATGGATGCCAGAGGCTTCTCCCCCGCCTTCTCGAAGCGGGTGAGGAAATTCTGCAGCAGGAGACTCGAAGTGAACCTCACGTCAAAAGCCCTCCCCCCCGGCAGAGCAATCAAACAGTACAGGTCCGCCACCTCCACCCGCAACATCCCGAGCATCACCGACCTCACAAAGGTCGCTCTATCAATCGTCACCTCCTCCCCTACGTCGTCCTTCAACTCCACCCTTACGCAGTTGTGCCTCCTGGCGTGCGTTGGTGTCAAGCCCGCCCCCGCTCCACTGCGCCACTTCCCTGCTCTTTCGCTGGGTCTCCCCGCCCCCACCGGACCAGCGCCGCTGTCATCCTCCTCCTCTGTTCCTCCTGTGGCCCCTGGCTTGATAGCATCCCTCCTGCTTCGTCCCCTGTGCTCTGTTCGGGGGCGCTCCTTCCCCAGCCTCCCGACGTTTCTCCTCGTCCTCTTCGCTCCTCCCCCCACCGACCCCTCCGGTCCATCCACCATCCCTGCATCCTTCCCTCGCTGCACCTCCCCCGTCACCTCCCCCACCCTGGGCGGAACCGCGCCGTCCCTCCGGTCTCTCTCAGCCCCGCGGGCATCCTCCATGGTCCTTGGCGCACGCCGCGTCCCCGTCTCCTTCCCTGCCGTCTCCATTCGCTCGTTGCGATGGAATCACTTCCCCCGCAGCGCGTGTGGCACCCCCACCCTCCGGCAGCAAGGCCACCCCTGGCCGTCCGGCCTGGCGCCCTCGCAAACCCCGGGGTGGCTGTGAAATCCACAGGATGTCGACGTGTGCCGCTGTGGGACTTCAGGAAGAACGGGAACGGGTTCCGCTGATGATTACCTCCAGCCTCATCAGGCAATTCGCCAAAATGGTAAAGCCCTCACTTGCCCCCGGTCTTAAATAGAGCATCAGGGTGACGTCATCATTTAACTCATTCAGGTGCAGTGATGAGGCGGAGGGGGGGGTATTGTAATTATATAATCGATTGGTAATCAGTCAATGGTTATGATTAGTAATGAGTTGTAGATTAGTAATTAGTTGTAATGTGTTATTGTGATTATATGCTACGTTAGTAATCCGTTAATTAGTATGTGTTTCCCCTATAAGGAATTGTAATATGTATTATTTAATAATACACTTCCAAGCCGCACTAAGCCTGTAGCTGTCAGAGCGATTAAAGTTATTTCTATTTCTCTCAATTTCAATGGATTCTCTAATTAGTCTTTGCCAGTAATAATTAGTTTTACACAACACTTCAACGTTATCAAAATCAATTGAGTGTCCTTGTTGACAAGCATGTTCTGCCACTGCCGACAGTTGTGTTTGAGATAATTTAATATTTCTTTGGTGTTCTTTTAGTCTTATGCTGATGTTACGTCCCGTCTGTCCAATATAGCATCTGCCACATAAACAATTAATCCGATATACACCTTCTGTTGATAATTTAGGTATTTCGTCTTTAGTGCACGATACTAGTTTTTGAATTTTGTGTACTGTACCAAATCTTACTGTAATGTTTTGCTTTTGCAAAACACGGGCTAATTTGTCAGTTACTCCTGAGATATATGGAATTTTAATTATTTTAACAATCTGATCGCTTTCAGCAGTGTTGCTTTGCGATCGTGATTTGGCATTCAGTGCTCTGTTAATTTGAGCATTATTGTAGCCATTCTGTCGTAGTGCTTCTTTAACGTGTTTGATCTCTCTCCCTAGACTTTCACCATCTGACACTGTTTTAGCCAGATGTTTGAGCGTCTTCCTTATAGGGGAAACACATACTAATTAACGGATTACTAACGTAGCATATAATCACAATAACACACATTACAACTAATTGCTAATCTACACCTCATTAGTAATCATAACCATTGACTGATTACCAATCAATTATATAATTAAAATACCCCCCCCCCCCACCTCAAATCACTGCACCTGAATGAGTTAAATGATGACGTCACCCTGCTGCTCTATTTAAGACCGGGAGCAAGTGAGGGCTTTACCATTCTGGCGAATTGCCCGATGATGCTGGATGTAATTACCAGCGGAACGTCGTACTCAAACTGTAAATGTTTTAGATTCACTCTTCAACACACCGGTGGGCTAAAGTAGTGAACTATTTGTCTTTTGTCAACGTGACACTTTTTTGCTGATTGGCCGTGTCGGGTGTTAGAGGGTTAAGACACATTTATAAATAACGCGATCTAACCCAAAAACCTTTATTATGAATAATATTGGTCGCGAAAGCCTACGTGTTAAACTGTAGCCGTCTCTGTCTGACCACTGCTTCCTTGAGCAAACAGTGGCTGGGTATGTGGACTACATGATTCAGCCATTGCATTCTGGTCAACCAGAGGAGCAAACTGATGGGACTGTGTCCAGATATTTCAACAATATGAGCTTCTCAAAAATCCATCATGGTGAATCCAATGACAAATTGTAGGCAGACCAGTCTGAATGCTCAAAACAGTGAATAGAAAGTAAAATAAGAATGTCCTCGTGCCAGATAAACTGTTATATTGTGCAAGTGCTTAACTAGTCTGCATATTTATATTACACGTCGGATACAGTGTGTGTTGCTGTTGCTATTTATCGTCAGGCATGGTGAACATGAAGGCTCTGTGTGACCAATTTTCAATCCAAAATGGAACAGTTGAAACGTTTACATCTCCTTCTTCTATGAGACCAATGGACGAGCTGTTAAGCTCAACGCTTCCCAGTGAACACGAGACCCCAAATGTGCTGGTCCCAGCCACCACAGGAGCGGTGGTCTCCTTAGCTGTATTGGTGGTGGGTGTTGCAGGCGTGTTCTGTCATTTAAAAAAAAGGCGTGTATTGAAAAGTAAGTTCTGCGTCTCATTAGTTTTTTAAACCATAATTTCTGCCCCATTTCCTATCATGTGAGTGTATTTGCCTTTGTTATTTATTTATGAAACATGTACAGAACTCCGCTTATCTGAGGTGATATGGGGGCCAATATCACGGATTCATTATCCACAGGAGTTATCCTCGATTTTACTCCTATTATCCGCAGTGTAAACATTTTGCGGCTAATCGGCCAATGAATGTCGCCGCATGGCTCCTATTGTCCGTGAAAAAAATCACGGATAATCGGAGTTTTTAAAGTGCAATTGAAGATATGTGTCTACCTTTGTATCTCCGTGTAAGCAACTCAATACAGATATAGACACATACTACAGACACGGAGACACGCACCTCCGATTAGCACGGTTGGCAATGTACGGTGCGAAAGAAGTTCAACATATATACAGACACAGGGAGACACAAGGACATAAATGCATAAAGGTCTCAACTCGTGTACTCTAATGTGTCTCCGTGCTTGTCTGCCTTGGTGTCACGAGTCTCAACTCGTTCACTTGTCCTGTCCAACTCCGTTACTGAAAGGGTCAATATCTGTGTTTTTGGTCTTGGTCTTTCTGTGGCTTTGTGTCTCCATGTCTGTTCATGTTTCTGTTATATTTTTGTTTGTCGTTGTGCCTCTGTGTCTCCGTGCTTGTCTGCCTTGGTGTCTGAGTGTATTCGTGTCTGCGTGACTTTCTCGTAATCATAGAATGTGCCTCCCGTGCACTTGGTTTTATAACGGCCATTTTTTATTGTAATAGGAAGTCGCTTTACTATGTATTGTGGGTACAATTGCAGATAACTGCAGATAACAGCAAGAAATAGGGCTGCTGATAATAAGAACTTTGACGGACTGTACAGCTCACAAGGGTAATATAGCTGCAGATTAGGAATTCTGCATATGTAGCATCCTATGTATAACAGGTCACCTGGAATACAAATGATCGAATCAGATCTTGGAAGCTAAGCAGTTTTGAGGCTGCATAATGCTTGGATCATGACAACCATGAGGGTTGGCTTACCCCTCTTGGATAAGATGATTCTTAATTACAAAGGATCAGGGGAACCAACGTTAACACTACATACAACATTATAAACATGGTCATGAGTCAGTATTCCCATGTTAAAATGAGCATTGGGTAGTCCTCACCTCTATTCGTAGTTCTGGGCAGTATTTTTAACGTCATCCAGCTTGAAGAGTTAACTTTTCCATAGGATAGCCTCTGCTGCACAAATTCACAATAATAAATGCATGTAATGCTCTTGATGACCCCTGTCATAGCTGTGAACATTGTGGGTAGATTGTGTTCCAAGAAGGTTGATGTGCTTGCATTTGTATTTTATGAAGCTCAATTTACTAACAAGCTCATTTATTTCCATTGTCTGGACTTTGCAGGAAATGAGAGAACATGCAGGTAAATATGGAACACAAATCAGTTAATTCCATTAAACATATACATGGACTGATTCATGCTATGAGAGCTTTTGGCCGATTGGCTATGTGGCATAGACGGGGACCCTTTCCCCAAAAACCCAACAGCCAATCAGTAGATGAGGTCGTGCCGATGGGAATCGAGGCTGTGCGTGCTGACGCTTGCTATTGCGTTTGTGTCTTGCGCCACCTGTCGATGAGGTGAGAGGCCAAATCAAAGACGGCTGAACATTACTTACAATCAAACTTAATGAAGACGCCGAATACAAAGAATATGATGGTATCGTTTATGATAGAGGGTCCCTGATATACGTCGGGGTTAGGGACCAGAAATTTGCTACTTATAACGAAACGATGTATAACGGGAAATTCCACCCCCCCCCCCGTAAGAATAATGTAAACATTGCCTATGCGACGCAAAGCACGGCAATTTTCTCCCATAAGAAACAATGGGATAAGGGACGGTAACTTAAGCAAATATTTCATACCTCGAAACGAAAATACGTACATTTACTTCACCATACAACACATAATGTACCCTTATTTATAGCCAATTATGAGTTCAAGAACCTTTGAAACAGCATTTATACTTATCAAACACTTGATTGAAAACGATTTTATGAGCATTTTCGAAGCATCCCTGTACACTTTAAAAAAACATTTTTTAATAGAAAACGTATTTGTGAAATATTTAAGCAATGACTCAAACAAAATTATTTTTAGTGTAAAAAAAGCACAACATCTCAAACGGCATTTTAAAAAGATTTTACCTTAACTTAACATTTGTAGGATCTTACCTTAAGGAGTGGATGAGTTGCGTTGAAGTCCGCGCCAAAGACAATGAGCGAGAGGAGAACACGATGGGACTGGGCAGATGGCGGCGCATGTGCGAGTTGTACAGTACTTCTAGAACCCCCCCTCCCTCCCAGAGCCGAGTTCAGCTGAGCCGAGTCGAAACCGATCATCAAAAACGAGCATCATCATTGGTGTTGGCTCTGAGCGGGAATCGAAGCGGGGTCACTGGGCCCGCAAAGCAGCACGCTATGCTACCCACACACAATGCTTTTGGTTCAAAAACGACGTAACGACGTCTATATGCGGGGACATTTTACGTTGTGTTCCTCAAAAAGTCGGCGACAACAACACTTGTATACGTATCGTGACAGTGGCTCTAATGACAATGGAGTGGATGGTAGTGATCAATGAAGATGATAGTAATGATAAATTATGACAAGCAAGATGATGCTGCTACAGCTACTGGTGGTCGGCCAACCCCTATGCCGTAGTTATCCGCAAACCTTCGAGAAGTGCGGATTAAGCCGCCTCCCCTATTTAAGATAGTACTTAATATGTTTTTCAGTATCATTCAAGCAAATTGCCTCTCGAGATTTATAACGTGCACAGTTTCCGCACGGAGGTTACAGACAAACGGTAAAGTCAGCCACGGCCGGGTGCCAACAGTTTGGTTATTTCGCCAACTCCAATGTCTAGGGACGGCTCAGGATATAACCTCATTGATGTATGCCGTGGCCAGAAAGCAATCAAATGAAAAACAAAATGGAATAATGAATGTGCGTATGAATACATTCATGTTTTGCAATGTGTAACACATTCGGATTAGACGAAGTGATGTGTATTCAAGAGATGCGTAGTACAATATACCAGAGTATATACTGTACTGTAGTGTAAAAATGTAACACTTTTTATATATTTTACACGAGAAACACGCTTGACTATTTCCCACAGAAAAGTCACTCCGAGTGAGAATGTTTGTTATGTAAGAGGACATGTCAAGCCTGCTGCAAAATACAAAGAACCATCGGCAGAGCTATTCAGTATCTATGGTAAGTTACGTTATTACATTTAACCTAAAATAATAGGTTTCTGAAACGAGGGACATTTTATTTATTTCAACCATGCCTATTTTATTATTACGCCTATTTTATTATTACACGCTTTTTATTAACTCACTTTGTTGTTGTATCCTCAAATCTTGTAAATCAATTTTAACCCACTTCCCAATGTGGTATCGACTGCAAACTCGGTATACGTATGTTATACTGATGACAATACTATATTCTATCATAAAAAAAGTTTTTATATATTTTTTTACATTCTTTTTATACGTTATGTTTCGGCTTGGGTCTAATTGTCCACGCTCAACTCACGTTGGCTGTAAATGACCACGGTCCCCTTACGTTGTGGCAAGCTTCGGGGCCACTTCCTGAAGTCGTGGAGTTCTGACACATTACGAGTACGGTACATTTCATGAAAGCGTGTTTTTTAAAAGTTGTTTTTAATAACTTATTTTCCAAATGGTAAAATTCTTTCGGTTATACCTGCTAAAAGTAGAATGGGACAGATCTTTTCTCGTATAGAGAACTGGCAGGTGATGGGAATTACACATTCCTATGGGCTGGCATATGAAAACCATTGCATACATCCCAGTAGGTGGTGCTGATGTTGTGCAGCAATGCGAGATGCAGGGCTAAGTCAACTCAGATTTAACGCTGTTTCTGCACTCCTAACCTGAGGGTCAGCCAAGCAAATAATATAACTTCACCCGAATGAATCCTACTGATTTAAGCAGTAGGCTGCTGGTTTTTAAGCCCTTTCATTTTCGTCTAGCGATATGTCATAGTCATTCGGCAGCAGCGTGTGTACCAAAAGCACAATTGTAAATGAACATCATAAACAACAATGCTCTGCAAATATTTTGGGCACCTGTAATTCATAAACTTGGAGCTGAGGTTGGTGGGTCACATAATGAGCCACCAACTGCCTGAGGCAATTATTTTCATGATCAATTAAATCCTGTACAAGGTGATAGCATTCGTAAGTTGCTTTGCCTATATGCAACTGCTTTGAGTGTTTTTATGTGTGTGTTCTCTGCAGGCTGTGCTTTCAGCTATGTTGTATAAACAACTAGAACAGGTCCCTGCAGGGTGGGCTGGTAGGAACATTGGAATTTTGCGTTTGCTATAGACGTAATTTTTTTAATTGAAATAAAGTATTGAAAGGGGACGGATGGACGGACACACTAATCTATTGCAGGCTGGTACACTCAGTTTACAACTTCGTTCCTACCAGTATAAATATACTATATATTTCAAGAAGGACCATGTATTCAGAACACAAAAATTAATCATGTTAATTTTCTTCACTTAAGTATATTTTTGTTTTCTCATATCTGATGTCTCTTTTTGTATTTTAGAAAACATGTAGGTCACATTCCCACCAAGAATGGGCAGCTCATCCTGCAACCGAGTGGATGAATAATAGGGTTTTCCCCCTTTTTCTAGCAACAAAACTGAAACCTTTTTACAAGGATTCATGTCTGCATTAATCACAATACCTGCAGTCAAAATGCAAACAAAAAACATACTTTGACATACTATACATACTATATGCATTGTCCTTGAAACTGATTGGTCCACACCGAGGGACGGCTTTCCTTTGAGCCTCGACCCTGAATCCTGAATCCTTGTAAAAAGGTTTCAGTTTTGTTGCCAGAAAAAATGGGAAAACCCTATTATTATATTTTGGTACTGGCAAAGGAGGTCTAATGACGAGTGGATAAAGTCACAGAGACAAGTGGCGGAGTCACACGCACTGCTTTCGCTTCACTAGCATTATACGATATATGCACACTTTTTCCTTTCAATATTTTAATATTGTATTAATTAAAACATATCTTTTCAAATATATTTTGATATGCACCATATTTTTATTTTACAGGTTTTTTAACATAAATTTATCATACTGGTGCTGAAAAGGATTGATGATGATGATTTTCGGTAAATGTGATGGAAGCCAGATAATATTTACAGCTCATAATAATTTATATCTTGTTTTTTGTTTGTAAAACCCAAAACCATTTTAAATGTTTTTACATTTACGATAACGTGGACCTTTTTGATGATACAATACTTTCTTGAAATTAACATGTAATCATTTTAATCTTATTCTTAGTTTTTTCGGTAAAGTCACGTTGTTTCTCTTCAACGTGACTTTACCGAAAAAACTAAGAATATGAATTACTGCAGTCACGAAAGCTTTAAATCAAAATTCATTTTAATCTTGTTATTTGCTTGTGCATTAATCAATAAAAATGCTAATTTGAAATAAAATGACGCACATTTATATCACAAGGTACCCCAGATAAGAAATATAAAAACGTCACGTGGGGTTTGTGGCAAACATTACCGCAGCTGGTTAAATGACTATGCCCCTTCATCAAACTCCTCCCTCCACCCAGTAGCCCTTCCTCTGCTTCCCAATCGGCAGCCCCCTGGTGGACCACCCACCTCCCCCATGCCAAAATGTCCCTCTTATCTCCCTCCCTATCTTAACAAGCTCATCTTATCATCTTCCAACTTCACATCCTGGGTGAGTAGGCTTACATTTGTCCCGTTTCGGAGTCTTTATGGAATGTATGCAGGGGGAATGCACACATATCCATGATATGCTATGAGCGATAGTGTGTAGCCTTCATTTTTCCATTATTTATGTCCGCACATTTCATCACTCTTACATTGACAACAACAGCCGCTGTTTGCCACTAAGTGCTGGCGATATCACCGCAGCACTTGTGCCTGATTAGGTGCTTTCTGACAAGAGGTAACAGGACAGATCCAGGTGCCATGGGTTGACTGACTGAGATGACTGCAGACGCATCATCTGCTCCCTCCTGTGCCAACTTGCTGTGTTTAGCCACCCGGCGCTTTTCTCATTTTCGATAGTGTCGCTCCTTTGTTCTTTGTTTGGTGTTGGAAGGGGACTGCCTCCAAGTGTCCAGTCGCATTCTTTACGAGCCCCCTCCACAGAGGCCGATCTTGACACTGCTGGTAGCAGTCATCGGCAAGTCCAATAAGCGCCACATCCATCTGTATCACATCAGTCCATCCCTTCTCTTGAAGGTGATTCTGGACTGAATCCGTAGCCAGTAAAGGGATTGTAAAATGGGTCTTACTTCATATTGCATTTTTGGGGATTGGACCAATCAGTTTCAAAGACATTGCATATGCTATCAGAGTATGTTTTTGTTTGCATTCTGACCACAAGTATTGTGGTTAATGCAGACGTGATTCCTTGTAAAAGGTTTCAGTTTGATGTTTTAACATCTTAACATCTTAACACCTGTTTTGTTGCCAGAAAAAAAGGGGAAAACCTATTCTCATATTTTGGTACTGGCACTGGAGGTCCCATGAGGTTGGTGTTTGCCCAGGCTTCCCTCCATCTTGCTTCGGTGGTCTTGTCGTCGTCATGGAGGTTCTTTGTATATTGCCAGAAAGGTTTTCTGGTTTTGAGCCTGTGCGGTGGTGGCATGGAGATGTCCTTTTTATTGGGAGTTTTGGGTTTCTGATGTCCTTGCGGTACTCCCTCACACATGCGGCATCGCGGAGGAGCGATGGTTGCGAGACCCGGAAGCCACAGCAGCCGTGTGCTCTTTAGTGTTCCTGAGATGATCCTCATGGCTGCATTTATCTGTGTATTCACCAGCGTCGTGTGCATGCTTTTGTTCCGGGCTGGGGCGCAATATTTTGCCGCAGAGAAAACTAGAGCTGTGGTGGCCATCCGGAACGTCGTTGCATTTGCTCCCCATGTTGTTCCGGCCAGTTTATGCATTAGATTAACTCGTGATTTTGTTTTTACAGAAATATTCTGCAGGTGGTTGTGGAAGGTGAGGCTCCTGTCGAGAGTTACACCAAGGTATTTTGGGTACTTCTCGTGCTGGACCTCTTCGCCACAAAAAGTGATGGCCAGTTTATGGTCGGCGTTTGCATTGTTCAGGTGGAATGATGTTACGGCAGTTTTCCTTTGGATTCGGTGGAACCTACAGTACTTTAAGTACATTTTGAATGTCTTGAGGTTGTCGCACACACAGGTCGTTTTGAACCTCAGTTTGGGTCCTTCTTTGGACAGAAAGTGCCAGGTCATTGGTGTAGCCAAATTTCCGTCTGATGGTGACAGGAAAGTAACTTATATATGTTAAAATGTGCCTAAGCACACACTGATTCATGTGGGAGCCCGTTATTGAGTAATCAAGCTCTGCTGACAGTGTTCCCTAGGTAGACATGGTTGGACAGTAGTGATGAAAGGAGTCGGAGGGTCTGCTCAGGAGGTGCCAGGCTTTACGGCTTGAGTGCGTGAAATCTAATGAATCCCTCGCTTCTGTCCACCTTTGTATTCTGGATTCATTTCGGGAGTTCAGGATAACGTTTCTGCATTCTGGGTTTCCTGACTTTGTAATCCTGGAGAAGGGACTAACTTTGCCACTCCAGCATGGAGTATATTCTACCCGGTAACCCCGTGGGATGTGTGAGTGGGACCGCTTTGAGCACAAGCTTCGTGAAACGTTCATAGTTTTCTGGCTTTAGTGGAATCCGGTAGACGATGCACTCAATGTCTTCAGTTAAATGTTCCCAGTTGGCCTTTCTTAAATTGTATCGTGGCACAGGGGTGGACGTGATCATGGGGATTTTCGACCTCGATATGCACCAAGACCGGCCTATGCTGACTTTTCCGGAAATTATCCAGAACCATTCTGGAAGCACACAACACAAAGCACAGGTCAGGGTTTGAATCTTTCCTCTTTCGTGCGGAATGGAAGATGGAACAGGTTACCAGTTGCTGCCCAGTCGATGACCTGTTCTCCACAGCTTTTATCGGTTGCATAGCCCTAAGCTCTGTGATGGTTGTTGAAGTCACCGGTGAATACCAAGGGATGGGTCGTGGCAGGAAGCATGTTTGGGCTTCGTGCGGTGCTTGGAGGTTTGTATACATTTATCACAGTGTTGTTTTCTGGGTTCGTTGTGGTGAGGTCCTTGAGATGGGATTTCACGTACATTGCCAGTCCATGCTTGGGATGGTGGTGGCTGGCAGCTAGCAGAAATCCATGGATTTTCATTTTTGAAGCTCTGTAAAATGGGTGTAATATGAGTGAGTACTCTTGCAGCTGAGTTTGAAACATGCTAGACCCATTGTACAGTGAGGGAAAAAAGTATTTGATCCCCTGCTGATTTTGCACGTTTGCACACTGACAAAGAAATTATCAGTCTATAATTTTAATGGTAGGTTTATTTGAACAGTGAGAGACTGAATAACAACAACAAAAATCCAGAAAAACGCATGTCAAAAATGTTATAAATTGATTTGCATTTTAATGAGGGAAATAAGTATTTGACCCCCTCTCAATCAGAAAGATTTCTGGCTCCCAGGTGTCTTTTATACAGGTAACGAGCTGAGTTTAGGAGCACACTCTTAAAGGGAGTGCTCCTAATCTCAGCTTGTTACCTGTATAAAAGACACCTGTCCACAGAAGCAATCAATCAATCAATCAGATTCCAAACTCTCCACCATTGCCAAGACCAAAGAGATCTCCAAGGATGTCAAGGACAAGATTGTAGACTTACACAAGGCTGGAATGGGCTACAAGACCATTGCCAAGCAGCTTGGTGAGAAGGTGACAACAGTTAGTGCGATTATTTGCAAATGGAAGAAACACAAAACAACTGTCAATCTCCCTCGGCCTGGGGCTCCTTCCCTCAGCCAGGGCATTGAATATGGGTCGTGGATGGGTATTCCAGCATGACAATGACCCAAAACACACGACCAAGGCAACAAAGGAGTGGCTCAAGAAGAAGCACATTAAGTTCCTGGAGTGGCCTAGCCAGTCTCCAGACCTTAATCCCATAGAAAATCTATGGAGGGAGCTGAAGGTTCGAGTTGCCAAACGTCAGCCTCGAAACCTTAATGACTTGGAGAAGATCTGCAAAGAGGAGTGGGACAAAATCCCTCTTGAGATGTGTGCAAACGAGGTGGCCAACTACAAGAAACGTCTGACCTCTGTGATTGCCAACAAGGGTTTTGCCACCAAGTACTAAGTCATGTTTTTCAGAGGGGTCAAATACTTATTTCCCTCATTAAAATGCAAATAAATGTATAACAATTTTGACATGCGTTTTTCCGGATTTTTTTGTTGTTATTCTGTCTCTCACTGTTGAAATAAACCTACCATTAAAATTATAGACTGATCATTTCTTTGCCAGTGGGCAAACGTACAAAATCAGCAGGGGATCAAATACTTTTTTCCCTCACTGTATAAGAGATCAAGGAAGAACAAGTAACAGAGTATTGCAGTAGTCTAGCCTGGAAGTTGCAAAGGCATGAATTATTGTTTTTGCAGCCATATCGCAAGGATAGTTGTGGATACAATACATTTTACTGAGATGAAAGTAAGCGGCGTTGCACATGTTGAAGACGCGGGTGGTGCTTGGCCAGTGAGTCATCTTCTGGGACAAAAACCCTGGGCATTGAGTTACTCGGGCGCCTCACCAGTT